CTTACCGACTCATGAAGTTTTCAGCAGGAGGGACTTGGGACATGGCAGCATAAAGTGACTGATGAGCCAATTTTATGCTGCAAACACGTGCGTTATGCACTAGGTACAAAAGTCTTCCACTCCAGAGTATTCTCTAGTCATTTACTGGTGTTGTCCTGTCAGGATAGAGCGTACTTTTCTTAAATGTGCGACGCTTCGCTGGCTGTTTTGAAATGGGAACATTCTCACCACAGCCACGACTTCTATGGCGTTACCGTATAGCAGCCTGGTTCCCTTTCCTCATCACCGTTTTCGATGTAGTGCTTTGTTCTAAAGTTCACTCATTCAGTTTTGTGCAGTGAACAAAGTAAGCCCCTGACTTCGTTACATAAACTCAGGTAACTTTTCACAGTATTTAGAGGAATGTCAGCGACAGGAATCCTACCGGTCGTGTGATTGATATTCTCTTGCAAGTGCTTTGTTTTAGCTCCTGAAAGTCCTGATAAGTCATTGAATGTATATCAGGAGAGAGTACCATGAGAAAATGGGAAGGGGGGGTACAGCTGTGTATGAAAAATATGCTGTTGTTTCCAGACAACCTAACTGAACGACAAGCCTTGTGGAGAAGTGAACAACGTTAACAAGTTTTAGAAATATGAGTAAAAAGCAAGTGAACCTATCGGGTCAACCGGCAAATGTATAGAGACCGATCCAAGTGTGTTATCAGCGCACCAGTGTCCCGAAGAAATCGCTGATTTGTGCTGCGTCACATGCACGGGTTTGACGACCACTCAAAGACCGAGGCTTGTATTCCAGCACTAGACAGTTGAGTTAAAATCATGCAGTAAACATGAATGGGACAGCATTGTTCAACATATATATCCACGTGCATACCAACTTGGTTTGGACGACAGACTCAACTATAACCCAGCTGAATCTTTCGTTTTTGACGTCCTTAATCAACTGGATGCGCTGCACCAAGTTGCTTCATGTTTCAGTTGGTACCATAATCGAGATATCGCGATACACTGCATAGACGTAAAATACTACGTATGCAGATGAGTGTATATTTCTAAATTCGTGCAATTTGAGTTCGAGTGGAACATAACGTTGACGGATAATCGGGGACTGCGCCTTACTGATGAGCTCCGATTAGGGCGAAACAGGTCGTGAGCCGTGGAAGTCTTCAGCAACCTTATAAGTAGTGCATCACGTCTACATAGCAACATGGTTATTTTATGTGAGGACCCGACAACTTGAATTGCGGCAGCTTACAGGTCGATCCTTTGGACTGATTTCATTTCCCATATAACTGTGCAGCTAGCTATCCTCCAGCGCTATAACTTATGCATATTGGAGCGGTTCCGTCGGATAGTTCATCTTCCCATCATCACGACGAGACACGTCCAGTCGGCTAGTTCCGATGTTTCAACTTCATGAAAAGACCAAAAGTTTGTATAAGAGGAGAAGCCCCCGGTTTTGGTGCCTAACTATCATGCCACCCGAAGGAAGCACGAGGGCTGGGAAACTGCGAGGTTGCCCAAGCCTTAACAGGGGAAGTCGAAATGCAGAGATCAGGTTCGAACCACAGACCTTCCGGCCAGTAAATTCGCACTCTAATCACTAAGTCTCCTCGTCCCCAAAACCCAACAGTAGCCCAACCTGTGGATGACATTCTCATTGCGAATTTCGCAGCCAATTAGTTGTTCTACGCAACGTCAGTACCGTCCCAGTGGACTTTCTACTACACTGCAGAATAAGTGGTATCAGTATGTGCAAAATCTGAAGAGTAATCCATCTTCATATATATCAGAACGTAAAAGATGGAAAGTTTTACAGATGGAGCGTATTACCACCATCGACAGCACACCGGTGTTCGACAGTGATGCTCCGCTGCCGTACAACTATCAACGCAGATAGATGAATGGAGATAAACTGACACTGCGAAATAAAGTCATTTCCACGCCAATTTGTTTTCTAACAAGAAACTCCACTGAATCCCTTCAAGAACACATGCTACGCTATCGCGATTATCGTATCAACTGAAGCATTATACGGTCTTCGTGCGGCACATTCAGCATATTCACAAATGAGAAGTTCAACGGGGATTCAGTTGAGTCTCTCGTTAAGATGGTCGGTGTGAAAATGTAAGTATTCTGTGAACTTCGTACAATTTGGGTAGAACATGGCGTTTGCGGGAATCCTGTCATGGGCTATCGAAGAACTCTTATAAATCTTATGAATAGTGTGTTCTGTCTGGATAAATCAGCTGCATCGTCGCGAAGATTCGGATTAACTTATAACAACTCCGCGATATGCGTTCATTTGGGCTCCACAAGCGGACTACTACCTGTGGTAGGGGATGAAGATTTTGGCAATAAATCCTTGCGGTAATCAGAACATGTTTCCGCAGTCATCATACTCAGAGGGGTCGACCCCGGTGAATTTCTAAATGACAGGTAAAACAAATCGATGTGCAGACTGGGTTAGAGGTGATCAATTTCATTGTGTCGCTAGCACACATGCAAGCATCTTCCAAGTGCAATACAGATTCTTTCACAGAGTTTTATTCAACCATGACTTGTGAGGTGACGGGAAAATATATCACACTCACTGAGCCGAGACAACGGATCATTCAGGATTGGAAAACAACCCAAGTACTCCATCCATTAGGCAATCATAGCATACAGATAGTATGAAAGGCAGGTGAATCCTACGAACTCGTAGCAAGCTATTCAGTATGAGATGATTTTGAGTAGTGATTACAGTTTCGTCATTCACTTCCATGCTAGTGATGTAAACCAAAAGGTGTAAAATGAATGGATTGGCGAAATAGTGTTTAGGTAGCTATTGAATGTCTAGACGTCGCTGTTTAGTCGACCGTTGTGGACGGTGATGAGCATTACTTTGGCTAGAGGTGCTGCAAGGCAAGATGAAGACCCTGTTATCGGTTTCCACTCAGATTTTACTATGTCCGGATATCAAAAATACCTATATTGGATACCTTTGCTGACGCTGTAGCCGGCTCGGAGGCTTTTCCCACGGGGATGAGCAAGAAGGAACTTTGGAGCCACAGAAAGTGTCGTCCCAGAGGAAGTGTCTCCTAAAGTTAGAAGCGCCGAACATAGGACGAAAAATAACCAAGTGAACTTAAATCGTTCACTTAGATATACACCCAAGTACGAAAAACGTAAGGCGATTGTTCATAACCGTTTAGTTGGCCCAATAGGAAACTGTACATCTGGAAGGAAGATACAGGGGTGTAGCAAGATATAGATTCATAAAGCAGCTGATTGGAATCCAGATGTTCGTGAAGCTTTAGAGCGACCGCGTCGTTTCTGTAAAAACCTTTCACGATTCTTGGAGCATCGGCGATTTCGTACATTGTCCCAGGGCTTGGCTTTCGATCTGCCCGAAGAGTAACGCGCACGCTGTGATACAGACTTGGTGGTATTAGTGTCGGAACTGGTGACCGGATCCAAACCAGACTGGAAGAAAATGGTACCGAAGAAAACGGTCAGTGTATACACACTAGTCAAACTGTAAATTACAGAATAGGATGTTCGCGGTACGCTGAAAGCGCTCTCAATGGTCTTACAGGAAAAGTCGATAATTCAGTAAACGGTGGTTACATTTTACGGTGGTGGTGAATGTTAGTTTGCAAAAATCACACCATGTCACATTCAGTTGAATAGAAAATAACCGCCAGCGATAGATGGAACCAATACAAGTCGAATCGGTCGCGTAATGCATGTCAACCAGCTACACTCATCCCTTTCAAAAGAGACCAATTAAAGAGACTCATCAAAAGTAGCCTCAAAAGACCAACGAAAAGTGCTTTTCTTCTGGCGAGCGATTTCGCCTTATGCGAGTTTATTCACAGGTATGTATCCACTATGTATATCCATTACGAATGAAGTACGCTGACAGGGGAAACTAAAGGGAGCCGTAGATCACCACTCTTCATCCCATAGCATCCAACGCCTACTAGCCGATACAGAGTTGCAGTCCGTAGAGATACTGTCGCCCGTTGTTGAGCAGTCATTGAAGCACGGATGAAACAGGTGATGAAGTACAGAATGTACCTATCCGAAAGTTAGGACTGGAATAAAACACTCACTTCGTATTCAGACAAGATTTCTGTTCTTTTAGCGACCATTTCAGAATGAGAGTGCAACTCTTTCTGCGATTTATTCAGTTCCGCTGAGTCCGTCACTACAGGAAGAGGTCCCTTCCTCTTGGACTCCCACATCCGTTTGACCGAAGTATAAAGCCGCATCGCAGCACGGGCATCTTCGACCGAATCGTGTTCTCCAACCTGGACTTGAACACCCAATACCTTTTCGGTTAATGCACGTAAGGATGGCGTTCGGCCAGAAAACAAGGCACGAAATGGACGGTAACGTGAAGTGTCCCGAATGTGTCGCCGGGGGTGGGACAACATGAGGACCTAAACAGCAAAGAAATTATTAGAAATAGATAATACGTGGTACGTAAGAATAACTAGGTTCTTATTTGATCGTAACACAGTTATCACTTACCATATCCCAGCGAACAATACCGTTCCCCATAAAAGGCTAGCAATGAGCGCAACAATGCTGTTTTAACACTGCAAATTAAGACGATGTTAACGGAAGACACAACTCTCGTGTACAATTTGCTTCAAATGACTGTGTGGGCCAGGACCCATCATCAGCTCTATAAGTAGTGTCATGTCAGAGAAAACATGGCGATATCTTGAATTCCGTTCCAGCTAGAGGGGACACTGTACAAAATGATGGCAGCTCAGGCAATGTAGAGGATCATTTTTTGTTCACTTAGCTAGGCAAGTTAGTTGAAAACGTCTCATCACCAATTGAGACGACGTCGTCAGTGCATGCTTGTGAAGCGCAGCATAGCGGTGCCACGTAGCACCTAACCTCGATTGGTCATGAAACATTTGCAACCAAATTGCCTAGATAGGAGGACGGAACAACGACCACGCCAGTCTAAGAATACGGTAAGGGATTCGGTTGAGCCTCTTGTTAAGACCGTTTCCATTTCCAAACGAGTGTACCATTTCATATAAGTTCGGCCTGGCGTTCCCCTACAAACTAAGACTGGTGAGCCCAGAGAAAGACGAGGCCGAAAGTGGATTACTTAAGGGTTTTCGATAACCATATAATTGATAAAGAAGGAAGTTATTAGGCACATTACAGTACAAGGACGTTTATGTGGATGGTGAGAATATCAAGAAAGTCCAACTCCAAATTTTACCCTGTCGGTCAACCAAAGCAGCAGACTCGAGTCACCGCGTAAGTGTTCCCACCTGGTTGGAAATAGTCAGGAATTTCACCTTGCAACTAGTTCATTCATTCATTCATTCATTCATTCATTCATTCATTCATTCATTCATTCATTCATTCATTCATTCATTCATTCATTCATTCATTCATTCATTCATTCATTCATTCATTCATTCATTCATTCATTCATTCATTCATTCATTCATTCATTCATTCATTCATTCATTCATTCATTCATTCATTCATTCATTCATTCATTCATTCATTCATTCATTCATTCATTCATTCATTCATTCATTCATTCATTCATTCATTCATTCATTCATTCATTCATTCATTCATTCATTCATTCATTCATTCATTCATTCATTCATTCATTCATTCATTCATTCATTCATTCATTCATTCATTCATTCATTCATTCATTCATTCATTCATTCATTCATTCATTCATTCATTCATTCATTCATTCATTCATTCATTCATTCATTCATTCATTCATTCATTCATTCATTCATTCATTCATTCATTCATTCATTCATTCATTCATTCATTCATTCATTCATTCATTCATTCATTCATTCATTCATTCATTCATTCATTCATTCATTCATTCATTCATTCATTCATTCATTCATTCATTCATTCATTCATTCTATTCAAATCCACAACCATCATCACCGTCAACTTCAGCTGTCAAAACCGCATACTCGCGGAACGGTGGGTACTGGAACACGCCACTTCTCAGTTACGGGGAACTAATTTAATGCATGGATAAGACAAGGTCAGTTGATTCACATTGAGCTTCACATGTGTCGTCGGATTTACCGAAAAGGAGAATAACACCTTTTGGTGAGGCAGGATGGAGTAGCTGGTTTAGACAATAGACCAAATATTACTAGGAACAGCTCCCAGACGGATTCGCTGTGAGTTATACGACGACTGAAAGCACTAAGGAGAGAGAGCACACTAAGTAGAATGTTGGTAAACAATGAATTTTAAGCATACTTGATTGAGCAAAAATGGCGAAAACAAAAGGTTCCTGTGAAAAAAGTGGCGAACTGGTAACAATACTCGTGTTGAGGAACTTTTAGATTCACCGCCCAACTCAGTGAACGGAACGTCTTGCATCCTAAAACAATATTCATTCATTCATTCATTCATTCATTCATTCATTCATTCATTCATTCATTCATTCATTCATTCATTCATTCATTCATTCATTCATTCATTCATTCATTCATTCATTCATTCATTCATTCATTCATTCATTCATTCATTCATTCATTCATTCATTCATTCATTCATTCATTCATTCATTCATTCATTCATTCATTCATTCATTCATTCATTCATTCATTCATTCATTCATTCATTCATTCATTCATTCATTCATTCATTCATTCATTCATTCATTCATTCATTCATTCATTCATTCATTCATTCATTCATTCATTCATTCATTCATTCATTCATTCATTCATTCATTCATTCATTCATTCATTCATTCATTCATTCATTCATTCATTCATTCATTCATTCATTCATTCATTCATTCATTCATTCATTCATTCATTCATTCATTCATTCATTCATTCATTCATTCATTCATTCATTCATTCATTCATTCATTCATTCATTCATTCATTCATTCATTCATTCATTCATTCATTCATTCATTCATTCATTCATTCATTCATTCATTCATTCATTCATTCATTCATTCATTCATTCATTCATTCATTCATTCATTCATTCATTCATTCATTCATTCATTCATTCATTCATTCATTCATTCATTCATTCATTCATTCATTCATTCATTCATTCATTCATTCATTCATTCATTCATTCATTCATTCATTCATTCATTCATTCATTCATTCATTCATTCATTCATTCATTCATTCATTCATTCATTCATTCATTCATTCATTCATTCATTCATTCATTCATTCATTCATTCATTCATTCATTCATTCATTCATTCATTCATTCATTCATTCATTCATTCATTCATTCATTCATTCATTCATTCATTCATTCATTCATTCATTCATTCATTCATTCATTCATTCATTCATTCATTCATTCATTCATTCATTCATTCATTCATTCATTCATTCATTCATTCATTCATTCATTCATTCATTCATTCATTCATTCATTCATTCATTCATTCATTCATTCATTCATTCATTCATTCATTCATTCATTCATTCATTCATTCATTCATTCATTCATTCATTCATTCATTCATTCATTCATTCATTCATTCATTCATTCATTCATTCATTCATTCATTCATTCATTCATTCATTCATTCATTCATTCATTCATTCATTCATTCATTCATTCATTCATTCATTCATTCATTCATTCATTCATTCATTCATTCATTCATTCATTCATTCATTCATTCATTCATTCATTCATTCATTCATTCATTCATTCATTCATTCATTCATTCATTCATTCATTCATTCATTCATTCATTCATTCATTCATTCATTCATTCATTCATTCATTCATTCATTCATTCATTCATTCATTCATTCATTCATTCATTCATTCATTCATTCATTCATTCATTCATTCATTCATTCATTCATTCATTCATTCATTCATTCATTCATTCATTCATTCATTCATTCATTCATTCATTCATTCATTCATTCATTCATTCATTCATTCATTCATTCATTCATTCATTCATTCATTCATTCATTCATTCATTCATTCATTCATTCATTCATTCATTCATTCATTCATTCATTCATTCATTCATTCATTCATTCATTCATTCATTCATTCATTCATTCATTCATTCATTCATTCATTCATTCATTCATTCATTCATTCATTCATTCATTCATTCATTCATTCATTCATTCATTCATTCATTCATTCATTCATTCATTCATTCATTCATTCATTCATTCATTCATTCATTCATTCATTCATTCATTCATTCATTCATTCATTCATTCATTCATTCATTCATTCATTCATTCATTCATTCATTCATTCATTCATTCATTCATTCATTCATTCATTCATTCATTCATTCATTCATTCATTCATTCATTCATTCATTCATTCATTCATTCATTCATTCATTCATTCATTCATTCATTCATTCATTCATTCATTCATTCATTCATTCATTCATTCATTCATTCATTCATTCATTCATTCATTCATTCATTCATTCATTCATTCATTCATTCATTCATTCATTCATTCATTCATTCATTCATTCATTCATTCATTCATTCATTCATTCATTCATTCATTCATTCATTCATTCATTCATTCATTCATTCATTCATTCATTCATTCATTCATTCATTCATTCATTCATTCATTCATTCATTCATTCATTCATTCATTCATTCATTCATTCATTCATTCATTCATTCATTCATTCATTCATTCATTCATTCATTCATTCATTCATTCATTCATTCATTCATTCATTCATTCATTCATTCATTCATTCATTCATTCATTCATTCATTCATTCATTCATTCATTCATTCATTCATTCATTCATTCATTCATTCATTCATTCATTCATTCATTCATTCATTCATTCATTCATTCATTCATTCATTCATTCATTCATTCATTCATTCATTCATTCATTCATTCATTCATTCATTCATTCATTCATTCATTCATTCATTCATTCATTCATTCATTCATTCATTCATTCATTCATTCATTCATTCATTCATTCATTCATTCATTCATTCATTCATTCATTCATTCATTCATTCATTCATTCATTCATTCATTCATTCATTCATTCATTCATTCATTCATTCATTCATTCATTCATTCATTCATTCATTCATTCATTCATTCATTCATTCATTCATTCATTCATTCATTCATTCATTCATTCATTCATTCATTCATTCATTCATTCATTCATTCATTCATTCATTCATTCATTCATTCATTCATTCATTCATTCATTCATTCATTCATTCATTCATTCATTCATTCATTCATTCATTCATTCATTCATTCATTCATTCATTCATTCATTCATTCATTCATTCATTCATTCATTCATTCATTCATTCATTCATTCATTCATTCATTCATTCATTCATTCATTCATTCATTCATTCATTCATTCATTCATTCATTCATTCATTCATTCATTCATTCATTCATTCATTCATTCATTCATTCATTCATTCATTCATTCATTCATTCATTCATTCATTCATTCATTCATTCATTCATTCATTCATTCATTCATTCATTCATTCATTCATTCATTCATTCATTCATTCATTCATTCATTCATTCATTCATTCATTCATTCATTCATTCATTCATTCATTCATTCATTCATTCATTCATTCATTCATTCATTCATTCATTCATTCATTCATTCATTCATTCATTCATTCATTCATTCATTCATTCATTCATTCATTCATTCATTCATTCATTCATTCATTCATTCATTCATTCATTCATTCATTCATTCATTCATTCATTCATTCATTCATTCATTCATTCATTCATTCATTCATTCATTCATTCATTCATTCATTCATTCATTCATTCATTCATTCATTCATTCATTCATTCATTCATTCATTCATTCATTCATTCATTCATTCATTCATTCATTCATTCATTCATTCATTCATTCATTCATTCATTCATTCATTCATTCATTCATTCATTCATTCATTCATTCATTCATTCATTCATTCATTCATTCATTCATTCATTCATTCATTCATTCATTCATTCATTCATTCATTCATTCATTCATTCATTCATTCATTCATTCATTCATTCATTCATTCATTCATTCATTCATTCATTCATTCATTCATTCATTCATTCATTCATTCATTCATTCATTCATTCATTCATTCATTCATTCATTCATTCATTCATTCATTCATTCATTCATTCATTCATTCATTCATTCATTCATTCATTCATTCATTCATTCATTCATTCATTCATTCATTCATTCATTCATTCATTCATTCATTCATTCATTCATTCATTCATTCATTCATTCATTCATTCATTCATTCATTCATTCATTCATTCATTCATTCATTCATTCATTCATTCATTCATTCATTCATTCATTCATTCATTCATTCATTCATTCATTCATTCATTCATTCATTCATTCATTCATTCATTCATTCATTCATTCATTCATTCATTCATTCATTCATTCATTCATTCATTCATTCATTCATTCATTCATTCATTCATTCATTCATTCATTCATTCATTCATTCATTCATTCATTCATTCATTCATTCATTCATTCATTCATTCATTCATTCATTCATTCATTCATTCATTCATTCATTCATTCATTCATTCATTCATTCATTCATTCATTCATTCATTCATTCATTCATTCATTCATTCATTCATTCATTCATTCATTCATTCATTCATTCATTCATTCATTCATTCATTCATTCATTCATTCATTCATTCATTCATTCATTCATTCATTCATTCATTCATTCATTCATTCATTCATTCATTCATTCATTCATTCATTCATTCATTCATTCATTCATTCATTCATTCATTCATTCATTCATTCATTCATTCATTCATTCATTCATTCATTCATTCATTCATTCATTCATTCATTCATTCATTCATTCATTCATTCATTCATTCATTCATTCATTCATTCATTCATTCATTCATTCATTCATTCATTCATTCATTCATTCATTCATTCATTCATTCATTCATTCATTCATTCATTCATTCATTCATTCATTCATTCATTCATTCATTCATTCATTCATTCATTCATTCATTCATTCATTCATTCATTCATTCATTCATTCATTCATTCATTCATTCATTCATTCATTCATTCATTCATTCATTCATTCATTCATTCATTCATTCATTCATTCATTCATTCATTCATTCATTCATTCATTCATTCATTCATTCATTCATTCATTCATTCATTCATTCATTCATTCATTCATTCATTCATTCATTCATTCATTCATTCATTCATTCATTCATTCATTCATTCATTCATTCATTCATTCATTCATTCATTCATTCATTCATTCATTCATTCATTCATTCATTCATTCATTCATTCATTCATTCATTCATTCATTCATTCATTCATTCATTCATTCATTCATTCATTCATTCATTCATTCATTCATTCATTCATTCATTCATTCATTCATTCATTCATTCATTCATTCATTCATTCATTCATTCATTCATTCATTCATTCATTCATTCATTCATTCATTCATTCATTCATTCATTCATTCATTCATTCATTCATTCATTCATTCATTCATTCATTCATTCATTCATTCATTCATTCATTCATTCATTCATTCATTCATTCATTCATTCATTCATTCATTCATTCATTCATTCATTCATTCATTCATTCATTCATTCATTCATTCATTCATTCATTCATTCATTCATTCATTCATTCATTCATTCATTCATTCATTCATTCATTCATTCATTCATTCATTCATTCATTCATTCATTCATTCATTCATTCATTCATTCATTCATTCATTCATTCATTCATTCATTCATTCATTCATTCATTCATTCATTCATTCATTCATTCATTCATTCATTCATTCATTCATTCATTCATTCATTCATTCATTCATTCATTCATTCATTCATTCATTCATTCATTCATTCATTCATTCATTCATTCATTCATTCATTCATTCATTCATTCATTCATTCATTCATTCATTCATTCATTCATTCATTCATTCATTCATTCATTCATTCATTCATTCATTCATTCATTCATTCATTCATTCATTCATTCATTCATTCATTCATTCATTCATTCATTCATTCATTCATTCATTCATTCATTCATTCATTCATTCATTCATTCATTCATTCATTCATTCATTCATTCATTCATTCATTCATTCATTCATTCATTCATTCATTCATTCATTCATTCATTCATTCATTCATTCATTCATTCATTCATTCATTCATTCATTCATTCATTCATTCATTCATTCATTCATTCATTCATTCATTCATTCATTCATTCATTCTATTCAAATCCACAACCATCATCACCGTCAACTTCAGCTGTCAAAACCGCATACTCGCGGAACGGTGGGTACTGGAACACGCCACTTCTCAGTTACGGGGAACTAATTTAATGCATGGATAAGACAAGGTCAGTTGATTCACATTGAGCTTCACATGTGTCGTCGGATTTACGGAAAAGGAGAATAACATCTGTTGGTGAGGCAGGATGGAGTAGCTGGTTTACACAATAGACCAAATATTACTAGGAACAGCTCCCAGGCGGATTCGCTGTGAGTTATACAACGACTGAAAGCACTAAGGAGAGAGCACACTAAGTAGAATGTTGGTAAACAATGAATTTTAAGCATACTTGATTGAGCAAAAATGGCGAAAACAAAAGGTTCCTGTGAAAAAAGTGGCGAACTGGTAACAATACTCGTGTTGAGGAACTTTTAGATTCACCGCCCAACTCAGTGAACGGAACGTCTTGCATCCTAAAACAATCATTCAAATGAATGAAATCCACCCCAGATTAGACGATTTTGCTATTTCCACTTTGGAAATTTTATTTCGTCCCATAAAACACGCAAACAAAACGCACGTTGTCATTCATGGCAATGAAATCCACCCCAGATTAGACGATTTTGCTACTTCCACTTTGGAAATTTTATTTCGTCCCATAAAACACGCAAACAAACAAGACGCACGTTGCCAGTTTCCCGGAACTGGGACAAATCGCAAGCTGAACTCCTATTGGCTAATGGAAGCTAGGATTACATCAGCAAGCATGAGCGTATATTTCATCATCCCGTGTGACGGTGGATTTCGTCAGCCTGTTTGGTTTGGTACATAGACAGGATGCCAGTCCTGGGGAAAGCCGACTACAGCACTTTATGACTAGACAAAGCAGTAGATACGATGCTTGCTGTCGAGAATCGTAGGTACCCGACAATTTGCAACAAACCGCCGGCTTCTGTTTTACTGGGAAGTGAGGGAAAATCCGCTGAGATAGACGAAGCCAAATTTTGCAAAACTGTTCTCTAGAAGCGTTGAATAAAACGTTGTTGTGATCAGAAAAAAGGAAAAGTGCGAATGAGGAAGAGATGAATCCCGATGACCGAAAATGAATTACCATACAGAAATACAGACAAGCGAAGATCACGTGTCGTAGGGGTTTGCTGTGGGAACTGATGGTGACGTGATTACTGCAAAGCAATCAAGTGAGCTGGTGAGCATATTGGAGGGTAGCTTCGGAACGTGAACTGCTAGAGAAATACGATCAGTTGGGTTTGAAAGCCGACAAATAGACAGTGGAACATGCACTTGAAATCAGGAACAGAAGAATTGATTAAAAAAGAGATGAGGTGTTATGTTTAGCGAACCCCTCATCAACAGTTGCGTTTCTGCTTGCTTAGTTGTCTAACGGCGGCAGATCATGAAGCACTTATGAGGACAAAAGTCTCCTGGAAACTATGATCACGTTCGCGTGAGTGTCTGGTGACCACAAACGGCACATGAATGAGCAAAGGGAAATGGAATACAAATGAGGTAAAAAGTATCAAAAATGACCGCAATAGTCTGATCCAGTTCCCAAGGAGAAGACACACAAGCAATTGATGGATGGTAATTCTGGATAAGAGTGAACTAGACACGCCAAATGAGCGTTGCCCAACTCACTTTAAGATCATTCCTGATCGAATGTCCAACAAGGATGCGACCTTTGCACAATTTGGCAACTTCTCGATGTACAGCTCGAAAGGGTCGTGCTGGGCCATCCGGTCTCAAATCGCCCGGTCGTACACCGGAAAACTCGGTACGATAGTCGGTAACCCGTTCCAACGGACGCACAAATGTATCCAGCAGAACATGACCGAATTGATTCACTATAGAAACACGTGCCAGCGCGTTATCCTTCCCCTGATAGCCGACGCCAACGAACTCGCAGTCGATGGCTATTCTACGGGTTGGGCTAGAAAAGGAGCAGTAGGGAGTGGACGATGAGTGGATATCGAATGCGTGCAACAAAAAAACATAACTTAAAAGCAAACATCAACTGACCAACCATGCCACCAAATATCAACTCAGCTGACCAGAGTTCAAACTGTTGAAATAATGCTGAACGTGTATCGATTTCGCCGCAACTTGAACAATCCCCCACTAATTCAGAGCGCTTCTTACTGAAAAGTAAGCACTAAATAGATTTGAACTCCATCCTTGAACACGCTGACAGGGAATATCTGATCATCTGGCGTGAGTCACATGCGAGATAAGTGTATTTACAGTTACCTCCCCAGTGCATACTGGACAACGTAAATGTGTTCATTCTGCCAGAGAAACATAGCTGCGTCCGTCACGATCCGCCAGTCAATGTTTTCAGTAGATAAGGCCACAGGCAAGTCAGACGGGCTACAAGCATAACCCAAGTGTCAACAGACGCGCTCGTCCACACAAGCAGATCGTGCAGCCATAATGCGCTCGTCTGACATGTCAGCCGAGGAAAGCTCGAACCCCATACGGCCGAAGATTATACACTACTAATAAAAGCGTAACCCGACACCACTTCTGTACATAGAAAGAATTCCACCCAGGGTGGTGCACATCCTTGAGAATTCCGAACAAGGGAGAACCATTCGTAAGGCGCTTCCTAACTTCATACAAACAAAATCGACAGATTGTTCAGCTGTAGCTGTGCCATGTCAGCCGAGGAAAGCTCGAACCCCATACGGCCGAAGATTATACACTACTAATAAAAGCGTAACCCGACACCACTTCTGTACATAGAAAGAATTCCACCCAAGGTGGTGCACATCCTTGAGAATTCCGAACAAGGGAGAACCATTCGTAAGGCGCTTCCTAACTTCATACAAACAAAATCGACAGATTGCTCAGCTGTAGCTGTGCCAGGCTGCCATGCCACACGAAGGAAGCACGAGGGCTTGGATACTGCCAGGTTGCCCAAGCCTAGACAGGGGAAGTCGAGATGCAGAGGTCGGGTTCGAACCAAGGACATTCCGGTCAGTAAATTCGCGCTCTAACCACTCAGTACATCTCGCCTCATAGAAAAGGCTGGTCGTCTTATGGAGATTAATACAGCCAATACCCGGTCCAAAAAGCAGCAAATAAATACAACAAGAACGCCTTTTATGGTTGATGTCGTTAAATTCCTGTTGATCTTATTAGATGAATCCTCAACTAGCTGGTCACAGCAGTTGGGGCGAATTTGTCTCTCAATTTCTACGATAGAAATAAGTTATTAACGTAAATGCTGCATTTATGAGCATTGTTGACGGAAACATATGCAGTGTTGCGTTAGAGTGATCAGCTTTGACAGCTTTCAGTGGCGGTCTCTATCGATGTGCTTTCGCAGTAGCTTGGGATACTTACAAACAGATGTGTGTGGGATAGCGGGCTGGTAGAAACGACGACTATAAGTCAAACGCCACACGGATACTTCCAAACCAGAGACCGGTGTCTGTCCTAATGTTGTTCTACAAATGTGGGAAGCGGAAAAAGTAAAGCTCGAAAGAAAGCAGCTCATAAAGCCAGAGTTTCTAGAATGACTGTTCGAGATACACAGCGACTATAGTGCTTATCACCAGCCTTTGGGAAGTAGTTCAGGACAGAATAATTGACTGGTAACATACCCAGTGAAAGAAGAAGGCTTCACCAATGAATTCGTGGTGGCTGCTTGATCTCCGCGGGATGCTGCGATTAGGGAAGGTGAAACTCCGTCGAACCAAATTTCACTGTTGCTCGATTTCCGGCCATCACGATCGCCACGACGATCCACTCCGGCTTTCTGATTACGCACTTGATGTCCATTCGATGACGTACGTTTGGTGGAGCGTTGACCATTGACTTTCAACTCTTTCTGGCCCCTTGAGGGGCATTAAGTAAAAAGATAGAACTGAACTCAAGACACTGGTTTTGGGTATAATAAAAATAAAATAATAATAGTAATAGTTCAGCTGTAACACACTTTCGGTGCTCCAAAAGAAGCACGAGGGCTAGGATACTAGCAGGTTGCCCAAGCCTAGACAAGAGAAGTCGAGATGCAGAGGTCGGATTCGAACCACGGACCTTCCGGTTAGTATATTTGCGCTCTAACCACTGAGCCATCTCGCCTCCACCCCATAAACGTGGTAGATGCATTTCGATTGCTGAAAGACCCAAATGTGGTTGATAGAGACCGTGTCTCTCGCTGGTAAATAGTCACTTCAGTGAAAACTGGTTTTGGTTAGTTTTCGATTGACATCAAGGGTTACGGAAGAACAGCCTCCAATCCAATACATAACCTCTACTGGATTTTCTAACCCCAAACTCAAAGCAAGTAAAACGTTTAGTTTGATTCGTAGCCTTAGTTGGTGACAATGGTAAGCCATTCCAACGCAACTGCATGATTCTCGAATAGCCTCAAGCGAAATATAATTACAAACTTCCTATAAAAACCAACGAAATTGACCTTGGGCAAGGGTGATGTTCCGACGCAATGCAGCCTTTGCGAGTCTCCTTGACAAATCCTACACATCCACTGGAGAAGAACGTCCCCAAAAATGTATGCCGATTGTTTTGCAACACTGCGCACCGCAGAACAAAGGATGTGCTGTAATTGAGGTCACTCGCAATAGTGGTTTCAATGTGTCACAAGGCAATACGGTGAGTGGCTTGTTCACTTCAAGTTCGCAGCGCAATACTCAGGGGTGAACTAGCTCATATAGATTGCACAGTTTCATCACTTTCAATAAGTCTCGTGGGTAAACAGACCAACAAATATTGGTGGAGTCATATCCCAAGTACCAGTCACGACATACTTTCGATAGCCACTGCACCAAAACTTCTCCGTGCAATAACGCAGAATCACACCTTGATTTTATTGCCGTCTTTCAGCATCACATTGATGATTGTCCAGCAGTGGTACACCGCATACCTAGTCCCACTGTTCATTCTTACCTGACTTGGGGTGAAAGTGTACCCTTTTTAGTTTGTGGATTGTCCACAGAGGCAGGCTGCTTGCGACTGGTTGACACACAGATATGGCCACAGTAACATGAGCAACAACCATGGTCCTATCAATTCCATCCTAACTCCGCATACGCGGTCCAAATGAAGGACCGGCGGAATATAATCGTTCACATCTCACAACAAATGAAAACCGGCAAAATTCGGCTGAAATTAATCACTTAGCTTGCCCCTGACTGCTGTCATTTCTCTTCTATCTGCATGACGGTTGTTCATGAGAAACGCAAGCCACGGTTAAAGGTTTGACGTTCAGTGATGCCAGTCCATTGGCCCGAGCTAACCAACGGAATCGCCGATTCTCATTGCGCTCTGTTGTATTGGGATAACAAAGCGCACATGTTGCTTATCGATCAGTGGGTTTGCCCAGCGAAAATGAACAGCAGCGAGCTTGTTTAGATGAGTCACTCCGGTCCACGTGGTGGCATGATCAATATACGCGTGTCTAGGGCTTGGGGGATGATAGCAAGCTGATGCGCATTTGTATAAACCTAAACAAGCATGAATGGTGCGGTGGTGGTTAGATGCAATGCGAAAAGCGGTTGAAATCAGTGACCATGAATCCTTTTCGTTCACAGCCAGTATCATCCATGTAATTCTCTGAGGAGTTTGTAAAAAGGATAGTTCAATTGGGTGATGTGATCACTCGCTATCAGGATAATCCCGTCTATCGTTGCCCTGATGCCTTCACAAACGGTTCCCACGGAGTACTCTTTAGACCGGAAAACTCCCAATATGTCATCTGTCGCAGGTCACTGCGAGGCACGAGGGCAAGGATACTGTTAGGTCGCCCAAGTCTAGACAGGGGAAGCCGAGAGGCAGAGGTCGGGTTCGAACCACGGACCTTCCGGTCAGTAAATTCGCGCTCTAACCACTTGGTTCATCTCACCCCCCAGGTCACTGCACCTTACCGTTTTACTATGGCAACAATAGTAGAACTGTGATATGACATCACCTTTCTCTTCTTTTGAACTGGCAGATGCGAAACATTTAGATCATATGCAGTAGAAAGAGCGAAATTAAACACATTGAACCACACGGTCCGATCAACGTTATTTCTCCTCTTTTTCCACCTAACCCGCATGTTTCATGTCTGGGGATGAAGACAGTAAGAGAAAGGATGTATCGGGACGTATGTGCAACCAGATGGATGAGGTGAACATGACGTTCCAAAACGTTATATTGCTTGTTCGCAGCTGTTCCCCCTGCATCACTCTCCCGGTGTGACTTAGGCTAACGCTGTGCTCAAGTGTCGGCAAGCGTCAGATAATCATTCGGTTCACGGATTTAAAGGGAAGGCATGCACCTGGTGAAGCCGAAAACACGTCGATCTAAAAAGCAACCAACACATCAGCCATAGTATGGACATGCACTCAAAGACTGAAGTGAAACTGTGCGTACACCACAATACGGTTTATTTCACCTACATCTTGCATGTGAGAATCAGGTACTTGAATTTATGAAATTGACGAAATTCAGGAGAAATCCACAGAAACCGGTCATATGAGCTCTTTCTCCGTATTATGAGAAACGTAGTTTACTGAGAATTACTCCGTCTTGCTTCAAACCGCTATCATCCGTAGGGAAACATGGATATTATCCGCAAGTTTCTATTTGGTGATCAAAATAGTTCATCTGATATCTCGTCTGTAGTGACGACGCATAATCCAGTCGGCCAAAATGTTGAACATCAGAGGACATTTCTGTCGTGTCAAATCAAAGGTTCAGCCCACTTCTACCTACACACAAATCTGTATCGTTCTAGCCGCCCAATTAACTTCGTCGGGATATCTCCAGTTATAATACGTTCCACAGTGCTTTGCTGTCCGACAAGCTATAAGCCTCCCGATGTTTGGTTATTGGTATTTGTAGCGGTGTCGGTGTGCCGCTGGCTAGCGAATATTTGCGAGTCCAGTAATTCTATATTTGTTACAAATATAACTGTCACCTCTCCAATGCAAAACCAGAACACGGATGCGCCACTTCGGTATCCCATAGCAGGGAAGATACGATATCGCGCATTGTATGGGGGTAAGCTGCTTATGTCTGGTAGACCTATCAAGGGATCCCACCTTCACCCAAGGCTTTGCGGTTCACCAACCGGTCACAAATTTCGGTAACTCCTTTTGCGTCTGAAGTGAAGGACCCAGTGAAGGGAATGCACCTACTGATGTTCAGAACTGTTCAGCTCATCGACAGAATTTCCTGTCCGCATCTGGAACAAATCTGTATCCACTAGTCGATTGTTACGCTAAACAGTTGATATGACAAACACTGGCGATACACTACCCCACCGGGGCAACGGATTCCTTTCGACAGGAATAGGCTTGCCCGGCAGATAATTCAGCCACGTAACACACCGTCGGATGTCTCAGACAGAATGAGAGAAATGAACCTTACATACATAATAAAGCAATGCAAGAAAACTCGACAGGTATCGAGTTCTCCATAATCACCATCGTCTTTGTTGTTACGCTAGCATACATCTTAATGGGGCAGCTCGTTTCGCGGTTGTCACTTGAGCTGAAACGAATTGGCACAGCACCCACCTGTGACGTTGCACATGAAGATAGTTGGTGAACACTGGACACGTTAACTAGTTCTCACAAGCATCTCTCAATTAAGGATAGGCAAGACTACGGAATGAGTTCACCTCACTTTCTGAAAGACTGTTTAGCACACTCGATACAACTGAAATTCCATCCCCATGGAAGAGAATACGCGGACGAACATCCCCGTTGAGGAGACATTCTTACGTCCTTCGTCAATTGAATTCAACGTCCCATCTGTGCAAAAACATTTATTTGAAAGCAATCCACATTTTAGGTCGTTCTTGCTGGACAAATGTTAACGGTTGGTAGTGTGGGGAGATTTGGGAGCCCTCCGTCGCTCGAGAAACCAGTCAACACGTGACATCGTGATGTAGATCCTGTGATCGGAGGATGAGTGGCGCTATATCCTGTGTGAACCAAACTGCTGAGCAGAAGGTAATCGCCGAAGTCGCGTGAGATGCGCATTGCTGATGATTTGAAATAAGGGTGAAGAATGCGTACAGTGCTCCTCGGCGTTTCAGCGCAGACTGGCTTCACTTACAGGGCAAAAACTCAGTTGAAAATGTTAATAGAATCGTAGTAGTAATGGCAACATCGGAAGAAAAGAAGTGGCTGTGAGAGGAAAGGATACTGGAGTATAGAGGGCTAAAATTTGGATTGTTATGAAGAATGAATGCCTCAGAGAAGCGAGCATAGTTCCCAAATGACCGTATGACATAAGTTTGACCATGTAGTTATAATCCCAGGAGTTATCAGACCGGTCCCATTGAGAACCGATTTCAGTACGTCACTTTATTGACCTCTGCCATTACCATAAAATGACAAAACCCCACGTTCGTTGCTTTTGAATGATGAGAAATCTGTTGAAAAATCGGCTAACACAGTAGTACAAGAATAGCATCCTAAACGAAACGTTTAACTGGCCAATTTTGTGGCGTCCAGAGAAAAACAGTACTTACTTCATACCAGGCACACACTTATGTTTTGTCCCCTTATGGACTGAGGAAAGTGTTACGGACGCTGACGACTTTGCATACTCTCCTTTCTGTTTGCGATTTTTCTTCTGGTTGACGTCCTTCATTGCTAAAACAAGAGGATACACTTTGTGGAACAGACTACTTGTTTGAATGTGGGAGCGATATCAAAGTGAAGCTAATCAGAAAGAGTAAGGAATTGCTTGTCCCAAAAAGGCGAGAGAAACCATAGCATAGAAGTTCATTTTGATTGGAAATTTTTTTATTCATGATAGAATACAAAAATGTTGGCTCATTATAGGTTATCGGAGGCTCAGAAGGCCTAGAGGATATCCAAGCATGGACACGAGTCGGATGGCGGGACCAGCACCAGCTGCCACAATAACACTGGAGGTTGAAGTCGGATTTGTGCTAGACTCTTCTGTCGGAATCCGTAATGAGTCTGCAACGATCACGTGACTTATTCGTGCTCTTGGAGGTTCTGTTAAAGCAAGCGAGGACACAAGACAACCAGCATGATCCCATCGAAATAGTCGACCCGAATTTCCACCTGCCATGATCCGAACATCCTCACCGGGAAGAGAGAATAAGCTCGTCTGCGGGTACCATTCTTCTGGAGCTATTGGGGGACGGGAAGGCAAACGTACAAATATTATCGATTATCAGAGCAGCAGTAAACACCAATCATTACTCTTGTGGTCCCGCTCAACAGTTCATTCTCCAGGAATGGATGAAACTAATGTGATCCTGAGTGGCCCCGCCATCGACTGAGAAAAAAGATCGAATGCCTCAACAAAGATTCTCATGTATATAGTAGTGAAAAACAGAACCATTTAAAGACATGGTAGAAAGCCCCGAGAGCGATAGTTGCGCAAGCTACTGAACATTGAATTGTTCGGAAAGTGCAGGATCTGAGATGGATAAGGATGGTCCCCTTGATCGGGTAATGCAAACTAATTTGAGAGCAAAGCAGTGGAAATCGCATCACGATCAGCTGAGTGCTCAACGACAGGACCCATGGAGTATTGTCCGATTGAGTATGCGATAATACACGACAGCAATCGACGACAGCTCTATAGTTTTCTGATAGTCAGAAAACCGATGGTTGCCATCAAAGGGATTGACCCTGTGAACTACCCAAAGGCGAGGACCTCAATGTTCGCTTTTTCTCTCTGATGAAAGGAATTCCCATTACATACATACTTGAAGGGATGCACCAGGTTTTTAATAGGTGTCATCGGTTTTTGCACCGAAGTTCAAATCCGTGTTTGCATTCAACTTCCGAACGCAGCTGGCGGGAGAAGTGCCGAAGTGATGCCGTACCCCAAGTCCAGTGACTAAATTTGCTCGTTTTCGCCTGCTTTTTAGTCTGATATGCACAGTCTTCTGGAGCGCTGAGAGGAATTAGTCGCATGTATTCTTTGCGAGAGGTTGCATCGGTAATGAAGTTTCTTGAGCCAAGGCTCACAACCAAATAATTATTTTTCGAAAAGGGCTACTTCCTTGCGCTGTTCTCCTTCAGAAGTTTGTACATAGCCTATGTAAGAGCTCAACAACTGAGGGGTTCAGGGTGAGGACGAAAATTGCACCAGGACAAGTGGGTTAAGGAACACATAATCGGTTTAAGAAGACTTCTACGAGCGCACATTGACAAAACTCAGGAGAGTAGGTGCACTCTCCTGCGACAGAGGACGCAAAGATGACGGTAAGCCGCAGACAGTTCTCTGCAGTGATAATTTCAGCGGGCTGTCTCGCTACTCATTTCTTATCTAGTAGCTTAAGAGCAATTGACTACAAAGCTCCTTTCACACGAGCCAGGCCAGCTAGTTTAGCAGCTTAGCTTAACCGCAGTAAGGGGCTGGCTCAGCTGCGACAGCGAACAATAAGATGAGCCCCTGCAGGGCACCTAGGAGATACAGCAACAAAATTTCAATTTATTAAAAGCACTAATGAATTTTGTGGTTTTTTGAAAGATCGAATTCAAGCCGTCACTACATCCTTTAGGATAATCTCCTCTTGTCGGGATGCTCGCAAAAAACAACAGCTATACGTCAAAGTTATCTAGAAAACCAGATTGCTTGCGAAAAGCAAGCAGATCAGAATTCAATGCATTGAATATGCTTCTAATCACCCTGGGTCCCTGGACAAACCCACCGAAGCCTAAATTAGGGTCATGCAGTTTGCTGTAAACACCGCCGGTCGACCCATTCATAATGATTCTTTGGAATTTAAAAAATTGTCAGTCATTGTACTGAAGTAAACCATGAAAATGCAACTCATTTATTGTGAAACTCACTATCGGGGACAAGAGGAACCACATATTTCCCAACTCGACGGTTCCACAGTGCCAAACGAGGGCCACCTCCAGTGACAAACCAGTTGTAGTCCGATGGGTCACAGGCTACAGTTGTCAACCAATTGCCAAGTCTTGGTCGCGCTAGAACGAGTTCATTGTGCGGTTGGAAGGAAGATGTACACTGATCAGAGTGACCGATTGTGCGACAGTCCCAAAACCGCACCAGTCCGTCCTCCGAAGAAGTAACAAACTGAGATGGATTAGTTTGAACCACGAGGCAAAGCTCACTTGTTTTGATCCGGCAGAGGAGATTGAGTGGATAGTAGAATTATGTGCAGTAAATTTATGGAGAGGAATCACATTTGAACCTATTGCATAGACATGAACTGATCCTGCACTATCACACACATACAGCTGGTTCATCTCAGTATGGTAGAGTACCCTTGTGATCTAAAAGGGTGCGTAGAGTGGAATGATGTAGGCTTACACTTGTATCGCCAAAATGGGAGGAAATTGGGGAAACACGTGTTCTATTCAGAAAAGTCAGTATCCTCTTGTCATCGGCTGTCCATTTGTAGCAAGCTAACTGATCGCCAAATCCACAGAAGAGGAAATTTCCGACGGTAGACAGCGCGTGCCAGCCCTTAGGATATTCCAGTGTGATGGATTCAATGGGTTTCGCCTCAAAGCTAGAATCTAGAAGGTAATTTGAGAGATAAACAAACCATCTATCTCTTACCATGGTACTGAGGGGATAATAAATGGATCAAGAGCCGACCCATATTTGTCCCAAAAACGAGGAGACGTCCACACGGAGACAAAGCATGAGAAACCACGCTTGTGTAGGCGATCTCACGCAGGTCGTTCACTGTCATTCTGGTGTCTGGATACCTAAAAATTAAAGCACAAAGTCGTACGACTGTGAAGCATCAACCGTGAAAAACTTTTTCCCAACGGTTTTAAGCGGTTTCGTGAAAATAAACGTGCGAAGCACGCACCGGAATACAGTCGTCAAGCATAAACGGAATAAAGCGCCCCATTGCAACTTGAAAATATAATACTTCGTTCCACAACATCGACTTCTACTTTCAGCGTACTCTATTGCATGAGCAATATCACCATGAGCAGACATCGCTACCTTACAATTCATTCATCCAGGCATTAACCTCCAATCACGTCACATGATCGCTTAAGAATTATACCCTACTGAGCACCACTGCAGTTCCATTGCTGAGTGTAGATTGGACAATCGAAAAAGTGGTAGGGGAAACATCGACGAAACCGATCCCCTAGTATGGGGATCCTCTGTAAAAGGGATTTGATCTTGACAGCCGTATCTGATTCCGAGGCAACTAATGTATCCAGATGTATCGCTTTACTTTTCAATGACACTGGAAATGTATTTAACTGTCAATTTAACAGGCTAGATTGGCAAGGACCAAGTGGATGCAAATATTCGTACGTATGAAGGAACATCGATTGACCGAAGCAACATGCTACATACTTAGGCAGCTCGAATACCGTGCCATTTGAAACACGAAGCGGCCTTCATGTAGTACACACAATTAGAGTCCCCCATTTACATCAAAGCGATCTCCAGATTAGTGTAATTCGTCAGTTGTGTACAATTTTGTGTTCAAGTGGAACATCAAGCTGACGGAAAATCGGAGAATACGCCCGAGTGATGAGCGAAAACGGTGAAGGGGTGTCGAAGAGTTTTCAGCAAGCTCATAAGCAGTGACTGCAATAAAATGTGCATCCATTTCTCAAACCGTATCAACTGAAACCTGAGGTGATCTCTGTTGAAGAATAGCGTAAACGGAGGATTTCATTGGGATTCAGTTGAGTCTTTGCGTTAACGCCAACTTAATTTGCAAATGAGTGTATTTCGTCTACAACGATTGTTGTCGCAAAGGTTAAGTTCCGGTCCAGCAGGCTCACTTCATCTTTAGTGCTTTCTCGCACCACGATCACCATTCGTAATCAGGCGGGCGGATTAGCGCGAACGAACAACGTATAACACATCAGATATTTCCTTACTGGTGGGTGAAGTTATCTGACATAGTCTTTGGTCTATTAATCGGGGCTCACTTTCGGTCACACGGCTAACGAAACTCGCAAGTTTGCACACAGTTCACTAAAACCCAACAATTTGCAGCCACAATCGTTCAATTGGTAACAACTGGATGACGGGGTAATTACAGACATGCAGTATCAATAATGAACCTGAGTGGTGGTGCTCGGTGGACAAAGCACTATAAATATGGGATATCAAAACCGAATTTCACTTAAAATGCCAGCAAAACTTCGATAGTATGAGACGACTGTAGTGGCGACAAACCTGTTTGACCTGTTATATGTTTCAGAAACCTGACCGCAGAGAGCTGAGGACGTTAGAGAAAAATTTCAGCGTTCGACCATCTATGTCTTCGGAGCGTTTCCAAGTTTGGTGGGAACACCGGATCAGTAATGCTGAAGTACGTCAAATGATTTTCGGAACGAATTCGCCCACGATAGATGAACTGATCACACTCCATAGATTGCACTGGATCGGTCACGCGTGGCGTATGCCAGCTGACCAACTTCCTCGAAAAAACTTTTCCCATGGCCACGCGAGGGTTGGAAATGAGCCAGGAGATATCAAGCAACTGGACCCCCGAGACGAGACATATCAATGTTTAGGGACATTGACTGGCATGGCCCAACCGTGCGCCTAATAGTGCGCATGCATCAAAGTTGTTACCCTCCGGATCTCCTCAATGAAAACCCCTGTATTAATGTATCAATCATATCAGCTACCGCCTCCAATGAGTAGCTGTCCATCCGTGCCTCTCCAGATCATCGGCAAACGGAACTGTGATAACCATAAACACTGTACGTGTGCGGTTTCTACAGCTGAAAATAATGACGATTTTTCGGTTGAAGGTAACTTGCTACGAGCTCTCAAAACCTAAGACCAAGAAAATTTTCCCCAGGACATCACATAGAGGTCAAATACCAAGTGAAGCAATGAGGAAGAAGGAAGAGTCCACTCGCTTCTGATATTGGACTAAAGTGTTTCCCGGGTCACTCTATTGACACTTGTTACCCTCTCAGTCAGAAGACGTCGCAATTCTTAAAACCGACATTCTTGATCTTTTCTTCGGTGAAGTAATTAGTTGCATTTCGAAATAGAAAAATTAGAAGCTAACACGGTTTTCAAAGAATTATATTGATGATAAGATAAGTTTACTGGACGGAAGGGATGAGAGCTCTGGCAGCACTTAACAATCACGGAAGTTCACCCAGAAGCAGACACTCGAGTGAAGGCGTTCGAAGTTGGAGATGAAGTGCGATGATAGGCGTGAAAAAACAAAACACCTGGTGAAGACGACTGTTCACTCGTTATCAGAGAAGGAATGAGTACTAGAACCTGGAATGCGATGTAAATCACTCGATGACCACAGAAAACCTGGGAAGCAAAAGAGGGACAAGTAACGATGTGGTTAGAATTTCACTTCAAAATGATCACAAAAAACAGGTTATGCAGGCAACAGATTTACAAGGCAACCCAGCAGCACCGAGTATAGAACATTCTGGTTCAAACAGAAAATTGCGACGTGCAAAGCAAGCTGCAGTACATGGAACTGCTAGACCGACTAGCTTGTATCGGTTGCTGAGGTTCTCATCCGCCCAACGATATCGTTCAGCTCAAATTACTTCAGAGGCTTTGGCACTCAAATGGAAAGTGCGACTTAATCAAACAGTTCCAAACATGCAAACAGAAAGCACAGTGTGTATTTTTGTGAGGGGAACGGTGCTAGGTGCGTAGCAGGAAGCAACCACGTCTCAGGAACTATCGCAATATAACATTCTTGAAACAGGTGTATCTTCCATAAGTATGGTCAGCCAAAGTATAGTCAGCAAGCATCTGTTCGCGATTGGTGACCCTGGAACCTAAAGTAATGATGAGAGCTCCATGTCAACCATGAAAGAAGCCCAATATCCTAACTCAACTGGAAAAGATGTGTTGTACAGGGATTTTCATATGCTAGCGTACCAGATGGTTCAAGTGGTTAGAGCGCGAATTTACTAACCTGAAGGTTCACGGTTCGAACCCAACCTCTGCCTCTCGATTTCCCCTCTCTAGGCTTGGGCAACCTGGTAGTATCCCAGCCCTCATGCCTCCTTCGTGTGGCATGGCAGCTAGGCACCGAAAGGGTGTCACAGTTGAACTGATTCAGTTCCAAGTCAATGCTAAGACTAATCTCGATTGGCCTAAATCAGTCAAACTGAATGTTCTTCCGGTCCCATGCGTTCCACGGAGAGTATACTCATAGGCTGTCCGGGCCAAAACAAAAGTAACGAAGGCGTCAAACGTTTCGTTCAAGAGCTCCAAAGCTACCTGAAGCTCGCGGTAGCTACTTAAAGATGCGCGCGTCTGTCACAACTTGTTTTCCGAGTGATAGTCTGCATAATGAAAGCTTCTAAATTTCTCCTGTAGGTACCACGAGACGCTGGACCTTGAGTACACAACTTGAAGACCTTGTGGCCTGGCATTAACCCCATGTAACAGGATCACATCACTTATACTAAGTTACAAGCACAGACAACTTATTCCAAGATGGCGAGGCAGAAAATTGAGAGCTACGGAAAAGACTGAGAGTTAGGCAATTATCAGTAGGAGCCTAAATACATGCCAGTACCGTGATTAAGACCAACGGCCCTATGGTACCTGGCCCATTGTAGAAGACACAGGAGGCTAACTGACGTGGGTGATAGACATCAGGTGTGGAGGCAATCCGCAGAGGTGTGGCCAACAAACTGCATGTGTACGACGAGACACTGTCCGCGGCAGATGAGCACCCACCAGTCAGTGAAAGATTGTGAATTCGAGTCTCATCCTCGGCGTCTCTTATTCCGACTGCGCTCTGTATCCGTTCCTCTACTCAAGAACCCTTGTAGTGAGCACATGTGAAACGTAGATCAACAGGGTCTCAGGCAAGTGTTGCTCATCGGTCTGCCACACCAACACCCCCAACGGATCTGATAAGTGGAACTTACTCGAATTGGGTGTCATTGGGTCATCCAAGTTGCTTAGTTTCGGAGTGGCCAATCCGGCGTTAAAAGCGCTTGGTAGCGGAGTACTATCACCACGCGGAGTGGTGCTGGCAGCGTGCGGCGTTTGTGCTCCGTAAGCGAGCTAACAACAGAAGGAAAAATCATCTCATTTACAGCAACAGATAGCAAAAAATGCAATACAAAACATCGCAAGCTTTTCGGTAACCAATCAGCTGCGCAAACAGTTGAGAAACATCTCCAGTCATGGTTTTAGATGTACAAGATATCCGCACACAAAGGTTAAAGTAAGTGATCAGAATATGGGCCAAACGGGACTTGATTTATGCAAATAGCCCACGGAAAATCGACAAAACAACCAATATAATCAGAACGCATTAGGCACGAAACATTCAGGGACCTGTTAAAGCTTGAATACCTGAACAAAACAATGTTTCCGGTCAAAGCCAGGACCAATGCTGCTCACTTCGGTTGGGGAGGGGCAGATCAAAATTGCATAGAACCTATTCTGTTTAAGTGAACTCCGCAAGAACATGGTCTCTAAGGTGGACAATCATAGTCGACCTCTCAACTGCCCAGTGTAGTTGTATACCAACACCCAGTGAGATTCCAAGTGATTCTTCAAAAGATCGCTAACAACCACGTTATTAATGGGGCTGAAATAAGCCATTATTTGGTGCGTACCTGCGGTGTGCGCATTTCGCGCATAGGAGTGACGCGAGGAGTGGTAGCGCCGTATTGCGTATCCATAATGTGGCCACCGCTGTCCAAGAGGGCCATATTCTCCCTCGCGACGGGAACCTTTTTGAATTGGCTGTGCAACTCAAGGACAACGTGAGTAGGTGTTGCGTCGCAGATGATGCCCAGAAGACCTTTCAGTGTGCCCTGTATAACGGATAGGATAGCCACGCATGAAAGAAACTCCAATTAACAATATTTGCATTAAAAATCTCATTGGGGGTGAGTAGGCCGGTAACCGCGAATTTACTGGTACTTGATGAGGTCATCCGCGGTAGGCGACTAGCTCAACAAGAAAGACAGGAAGATCAAATTACACTGACTTTAGGCTACATGATATCGTTGATGCACTATATCCAGGAATACTGGAACCGCTCGCGTTGACAGTCTTGTACAAAAAACTACCGAATTTGTTGGTAACCGTAGAGCAGCTACAACCCAAACTCCTTGAAAGCTAACGACGACCGAGCAAAATCGCATGGGGAATGTGTCATTGTGCGCAGCTATCAAGACATACGTACAAACATGATGTCCGAAGCACCCCCATTTGGCCCAAAATTGGACAGTGGGTATAGTTGAACGAATTACCGTTCGTTCATGAGCCTATGACTCAGCATACGTGCCGTGGCCGGCTAAAAGCACAACACGAATTCGGCCCATATGCGAGCCTGGGAATACGACTGTGATAAGCACGAAGCTTAACTGGAGTTTTACGTGATTATGATGTGTGAATTTTATTAAAAAGGACTGTCTTAGGGAAGATACCTGAAGAGCGACAGCAGCCCAGAGGGGGTCAGTGGGCACTGTTGCACGTACATAACGATTTTATTGCAGGGTAGTTCCTAATAGTTAATATGTAGAGAAAAAACTAGTTACAACACGGAATTACCTTAACTATTCTTGCCGTCTTCCCGATAAGTTTACGTTCCATACGATCACCACGCCCGCGACCGTCATGTTCGAAACCGACGTTTCGTGCACCATTGAGGGGGGTGATCGTTCGGAAGTCGTTTACGGCCTTTTGTTGTTCGGGCGCATTCTGTGTACTGTTCAACACAGCTAATTGACGAGTCTGCGCGACAACCAAACCCGCATTCTCTAGATGCGTTCGGGAATATATAAATGCCCACGAACGATACAAGTGTTTGACCTCTCCAATTAGACCACAATGGGGCTTCTCCAAAAGTCTTACTGTCTGTTTTACCTGGATGAGATTGCCATTCCGATCCATGGCTTGGGCTGGGCGGCGGCGTTGTGTGTTCAAACGACGCAAAGCTGTGTTAGATTTCAAATTTACAACTTTTCCGAAGCACGTAAGGACGGAGACCTGTTCCGGCTCTACGTTTACCACGACACCCACAGTTTGCGGATCAACTTGGACAAGATCCATCATTTGAACATGGCCAGATGAATCCAATGTCGATGCCCGATCCTGCCAGAGACGCAAATCTTTGGGTGCTACTTTCATTTCGTTCATACTGTGGTCGGACAATACTACGGCCAGACTGGGCTCAAAACGAATAACCAATCCTGTCTGGTTGACGTGGCGACCAGCGAGGACCTGAAATAGTACAATATGAACATGCATATGAACACTTCTCAATTAGAGCTAAACACACGATCAATAGGATCCACATGGATCGAATAAGACCTGAAAAAGTAGGGTAGCTCTACACACTAGAGACCCCCAGAGAGGAAAGACCTCCTAAAAGTGAACACCTAACGTTATCGAACGAGCGGTCGCTAAAAAAAGTGGCGAAATATGAAGGTCCATAGGAAACCATTTGCAAACTAGTTTGTTTGACAAGATAAACTAAAGCCATCTCCACGCTGCATTTGGTCGAAAACCACAACTAAAATAATAACTACTAATCCCTAAAATAAACGAGAGCGTCATTGCTATACGTTTCAGGTAACTGTACGGGCACTTGATTTATCTATGGCTGCAGGCGCGAACTCACCTCAAAGCCACCCACACTATACTCTCACCCTGACCGTTTTTTTAAAGATGGCCCATATAACCAACTGGCCTCATTACTTCACTGCACCCACAAACGAATTCAGTTCGTTTACAACGACCGCTCTTAGTTAGTTGATTGACTTAGTTGGTTGACTTTTGTCTTAGACCAGTTGAACAAACAGCGGAGCAATTATGGAGACGTGTCTGGAAAAAAATAACGGGGCAAGTCGAATTAGAATGACCGTTCCATTCTGTCCACACCAGACTGCAACGACTTTACATTATGACTGCCTCACCAACCAGCCAATTTGGTAGCAGAATTAACCTGTGGTGACTGACCTATCCTTCTATTGGGTTGCCATTGTGGTCCGGTTCAAACAGTCCCTCAGAGTGCATGAGCTGTCGGTTATACGTGCATCACTTTTCAATACTAAGTGATGAAGTCCACCATCAAGCCCACTGAGTGTTCCAGTTCGTACTGGTCAACAAAGGTATATTCAGTTGTATGAAACCGTTCAAAATCGTTCCAATCGTATCCCACCAAATCTGTTGATCTCAGAGAGCTTTAAAGAGCCATGAGATCACGGAGAAGTCAAGTTTAACCAGGCTACTCGGTGAAGGGCGGCTCATGCTGTCACTCAACTTATAGCCTAAAATGGCTTGCCACTTCCAACCTATGCGTTGGGATGCTGGTGTTTCAATCACCAAACAAGCATGAAGATATAAACTGCAAGGATGCCTTACAGTGGTCACTCAACCAACTCCCAAATCTCGCTGCGTAGTACCCACAAAACGAACTACAACATTAACTCGGTCCACGAACTTTAACCCTCCATTCCACTTTTTGTATCCTTCCTCGATGAGACCAAATTACCAAGCTTCGTTACCTTACCTCACCAGCCATATAGCAGCCATATGTCGCACCTTAAAAGGTACCAAATTTATATATGTAGTCAAACTTTGCTTAACCCTACTTGGGTCTGACTTTTACAAAAATCGTATCTTAAAATGTCGCAGTTCCTCATACATGCCCACATATTTGCAAAACAGGCTAATATGAATAGTGAAGGAGCTATACTTTCATATGTTGCACCTATCAGTCTTGGGTACGCGAGCATGGCATTTAGGCCTTTTCAAACTCCCCAGTTTCGTATGGTTTACGAAGCCGCATGGATTTCTGGAAAGAGGTATTGCAAGCAATTACTGTCCACCAGTGTTTTCGCTTACTTGACAAGTAATGGATTTGCGTATATTACGTCCAGTCCAAGTGCTTCAGTGCCATCTATCATCATATAGGCTAAACAAGGCCAGGTTTGTAAGAATGCAGGAATCGGCATTAAGTAGTTAAATGTGGATCACTGTGATCGAACACTATGCTGCCCATAGAGCATACTGCTGCGCACCGGCCTGAAATCGAAGTTTTGAGTATGAGGGCAATTCGGACCATGTTACATCATACTCTCCCTAATTGGCTACAAAAGCCCAACTCTGTGTAGCCCGCGAATGGTCTGGGCCAATAGTCCATCTGGTGCATACACTACCCCCAACATGCTTTCACTCTTCACTTCATTTCACAGTCAATCTGTTAATAATACATATCACTGGCTTTAGAACTGCTATTTCCGGCTGAATGGACTGAAGTACGCTTACGCTACCACCATTTTGCGCAAAATGGCATATGGTATTGATTAGCCTGCTTGGGACTATGTTGGTCCGATGGGTCAGGCAAACCTCGAAACGGTCATCAGCCTCCTAATGCCTTGCGATTCGCTAACAAAACCAATTTTTTTGTAAAAGACGATTAGCTGTATGACTAACGGAAGTGACGTTGTCTGGCTTTCTCATGGTACTCATACTTCCTTAAAACTGGTTTGAGGGGCACTCGAAATGCTCCCAAACAAGGTCACCCATGGTTACGCTATTCGGGCGATGGATTGATCTGAGTGGCTTACAGGCAGACTTAAAAAAACTCGTGATGTTCGGATACCCAAACCTAATAAAATGATTGACATATCTATCGTAACATTCGGTTTATTTACGAAAGCCGCGGGTGGAACCTCTGAGTACAACTGCTGATATATCGGTTGTTCAGGTACTCATGATCATTAGAGAAATCCCTTGATTAATCAATCAATCAATTTACCAGCTATAAACCGTGTACCATAAGCACATCATCTCCAGCTGCCACAGCTTCGATCATCGGAAAACGGGGGAGTGTGAGGCATACAGCCATATTTTAAACAAATAGCACACCACATGCACAAGTCATATTTCGTAAACGTAATTGATAAGCTACGTGGTCAAAAACCGACACGAACAGAGTGCTTTAACGACAGAAACAGTGGCACGTCTGGTTTCATCAAATTTAGCTTGAAAACCCGGGGAGCTGGATAAATTTGGTAGGAATCGACCAGACGCACGGTACTGCGTGGTTGTTGTGTGCTACCAGAAGAACGCATTGGACACTCAGGGTGACAGATGGAGTTAGTCCACTTGTTTCAGAATGTCAATAGGTGCTTCGCATCAGAGAATCATTGAGTTGCTAGTAAAAAAAACCCACATACTCTCTACGACGACATGAACCACCTCATCTCCCTTTTCTTCAAACTGGGTAAGGAATCATCTTCCAAATGGTCCAGCTATGTCAGTCTACTGATGGTAAGGGAAAACAAACTGTACAGGCGTTGGTGGACGCATCCCTGCCCCTCGACACGTTTTGGCCACATTTCTGCAAATAATACCACCCAGTTGTGTTTCGAATCATTTCACAGCTCCTTTTCCCATCTTTGTTCACTGGCGTTTCCCTTCAAGATGGATAACCTTTATTCATCCTTCCAGGTCCTAAATTTAGCTTCCGCTCAGACAATAACTACCAAGTCAGCTCCCCTAGCCCCATTTTGTCCAAATGCTTGGGTCAATTTCGACCAAAGGCAACGCCAGCTCGAATGATCACAAGTATGAATTTAAGGTACACCGCCCCACAAGTATTACAGGTCCGGTCCTCCAACCTAGACCCCTGGTAAAACAAATGTGATTGCCCCATTTGGGCCGAAGGTTTTTGATCGCATTTGGCATGTGGACCTTCTCTCCAGCCGATCTATGTAAGGCTAACATCCAAACTTGATCACTTGGAACGGAAGCTTCTTGCAAGGAAGCTCTATACAAGAATCATTGGGCGGCGTTGTTTCTCAGATCCATAAAACCAGCGCTAGGGCATGTAATCTCCTCACACTATTTCACATTTACATGGACGATCCCTTATCCTCCATTGCCTCTCCTGTCTATCTTTGCAGACGTCAGACAACGCCCCCCCCCCAACGCCATTCTTCATCTGGACTATCTGACTACCGGGTATAAAGCATTACGAGTCTGAATATCGATCTCACTACCATGTTCGGCTGCAGTTATTCGAATTCGACAACATCCAACCCATCCCAGTCTCTCTATCGTCCATCTTCCTTCGTAACTCCATCTCCGAACTAAATAGCTTATTAGGATCCACTATCATTCCTCCATTCTTCTTCTTTCACCAGTTTTGCTTTATCTTTCACCGACGGTCTATCCTTGCGCGTTAAAGTCCCCTCGACGCGGGCAGGTAGGAGGCTTCGTCTCCCTTTTCTAGCTTTCAGCCCTGCCCAAATTCTCATTTACAGGTTTCAAATTTACTATATCCCCCCTTGTGTTTAGAGTAGGGTTCCTCGTCCCATCCTGCCTTCTCGCCGGATCACCCTCAACGCAATACTGTATGCTGAAATGACATCCCTTCCTGATGAAGTGTAGCACCTTGATCTACCGTTACTAGAGTGGAAAGGGTTCTTCAGAGCTTGTCAGTTCTTATTCAGACATCACGCCTTTCTTCATCAAGTTACTTGTACACCATTCACATGTCAGGCTAATTTTTATTTCAATCCACTTTGAGGTTTCAAGTATGTTTACGGATTGTTGTCTAATGCTCTTTGCGGTGGCTATTTAAGCATGGGTTCTTGCTTCCCCTGCGATTCGCGTATGATGAAAAATCTACACAGGCACAATGCACGCAAACAATGGCAACGACTGTTCAGATGCTGAGTACCACCATGTTATGCTTGTGCACATTCAGGAAATTAGTGCTGCAGTTACGCTTGGATTTGCCCCTTATATGTGGAGAAGTAGAAACAAAGTCAAGTTATTCTCAGGGAGTAAACGCAAACGGCTGGTTTTAGACGATGTATGCTTAGCTCCAGACGACATTGCAATGCCCCTAATCCAATAATGACTACCCGACAAACGGACTGTGTAGAAAGCAGGTGCAACATGTAATAAAACAATAGAATATGCGACGAAAACCCAACAACCCCATCACCTAGAGACCTCCCAAGCCAGCTTACAACCTCGTGGAGCCTTGTTTGCACAAGTCAATATCTCAGGATCGATAGGTCATTTGTGTGGGGCCGAAAAAAGGAACTACAGATAATAACCAACCTTTACGTGATCACCCTGATTGAAGAACTTCCTCAATTCAACCGGAGTGAAAGGAATGGGTTCGTGCAGATCAGAATGATTGGGCTGCACAACTATTCGATTATTTCCTTCAATCGAGACCACTCTTCCACGCAAATTCTTCAAATCTCCTTCACAAACCTCCACCACATCACCTGGTGTGAAGCAGTGAGTGATGGTCGAATCCGTAACTGGGACATTGCCTGCTGCAGCGACCGCTGTTGCCGCCACCGCTGCCAGCTGCAAGCTGTCTGGCGTTTGGTGGAATCGCTCAAGTTCGGCAAGCGTGGGTCGAATCCCCTCAATGACCTAAAAACGGAGGGAGAAATGCGAATGAACGGTAAGTCGGAAACTTAAGCACTCCGAAACCTTGATGGCTATAATTATTACAAGCACGAAAGCGATTCTACCACAATTATCGTCATCAGGGCGACAGTGTTGGACAGCGACAGAACATATATTTTCGGAAAGTAATGAAAGTGAAAGAAAAGGATTCAGTGAGAAACACGGACGACACCTGGCATAAAGCAACGGAAAGGAAACCGAATTCTTCAAACACGGGCTCGAAACATCGACATCTTCCCGAAAAACTAACGTGATGAAAACTGCACGCTTCCAGACAACTTACCACAGCGCTGATTCGGAACTGTTTATGAAGGAAACCATCTGAGTCGTACCGGTTGCCCTCAAAGATAGTCCACGAACCATCGCGTTGAATGCGGTCGAGTGCTTTATTCGGGGCAAACAATGCCTGAGGAGGTCGTCTGAAGCGTTGCGTTTTATTCGAATCTTCTTCTTCGGCCGTTGCGCGTGACCTTCTGCGATCATAGTCAATGCGCGGGATTAGTTTGAGAGAGACCAGATTTTGCGCGTCTTCTACATATTCCACCTGATAAGAATTGAGGTAGAAAAGGATAAGCAGACCACGTCTTCAGACAAACCTACTGAGCAGTGATAATGAAGTCCATCCGTTTGCAGTGTAAATCAGACTGTAAGCGATCTAACACCGAAGGTGATGAGAGGTTTCAACAATATGCGTCAACCACGAGAACAGCGGTAACCGAGTAGCGAAATATGTATCCCAACGCTGTTGCGTATGAGAACGGGCTACGGAAAAAACAATGATCGAAATATGAAGGAAAAAATTGAAGTGTGAGATAAATTAAATAAATAAACGGCTGTGGAGGGAGGTTTCACGCTGGGGTAGCAAAGGGAAACGGGGATACATCAACTGACCTCTACGAACGTATCATGAAAACTTTAAGAATAAACAGGTAGAACATAAGGTTGACGGAAACCCGGAGACTGCGCCTACCTGATGACTCACAATCGAGAGCACGGTCTCCTGATCACACCACGGAGTGGAGTGAATCAACAAACAATGACCGTTTCCAAGAAGCTCAGAATTCGTAAATAGATTGAGTCACTGAAGTAGCCCCGACAGTGATTTGTGAACCCGCGCTACGGAAAAGGCTGTTTGTTGCACATAATTTTAGAGGGATATTAACAAGAATTCAGAGAGATACGTTGCAAACTTATGGGAAAACTGCACTATGTAGCACGCATTCACGAGTTGCAAGTTGGAATGTGAAAAGGGGTGGCAAAGACCGATTAAGGCAAATCACATTACAATGCCATGTGAAATTGGACTGTATTTGAGAAATACACTCATTTGGGTTCAAGTAGATCATAAGGTTGACGAAAACTCCGGGACTGCGCCTATCTGATGAGCCCCAAGAAGGGGGGAATGGGCGTGGGCTGTTGAAGAGTTTTCAGCAGCCTTGTGAGTAGTTTCCTTTATAAAAAGGCTACTGTTTAGATTTTCAAGGATGTGACAGAAAAACTCCGTGTTGAAAGAACAGCCTTGTAATTGTGACGAAGTGAGTGAACGGTTCGGCGTGACTTTTCATTGGTGAACATTATATTAAGGGGAGATCTTTACAACCCACTCCAATAAACTTTCTGGTCCTTGTGATACCTGCCATTTTTACCGTAACCATGCTCCAAAAACACTCCAATCATGTATCTCGTTGCTTCCACTCTTCCCTCCCTATTTCTTGACACCGATTCCTCTTGGGGCAGTTTCCGTGTACGTCGCAACCTCAAACTCGATTCCTAATTTGACCAAAACAATGACATCATCAACTCCATTACCACTGCTTGGTGCGGAGTTCACCTTGATAAAAAACTTCGTTTGATCTGCAAAACAACAGCTTCTGTGGAAGTAGTCAGTATGGTTTTATGCAACTATTGGAGTAGGTGTCTCGAAATCGAGATGAATAAGACGCGAACCTACTGACTACCATGATGCTAACGGCGCACACTACTGATGAGGCATGCGGGTAGCCAGTGGTCTCGTCGAAGCTCTACTCCACGTCCAATGGAAGGTGAATTCTATTACGGAACTTGTGGAACTGCATTGCAGTGTTCGTTTACAGTTGCGTGATAGTCTATGAATATCCATCAAAGTTAGGGAAGAAGATGCGTGAGAATGCTCAATTTTTAACAACCATATGCATGAGACATTTACTTTCCTGTCCAACAGTTTGTAACTACCGAATTGGTTTCTGATAATTAACGAATTCGCGGTGAAGGGCTTTCCCCCTTATACTTCTAATGCTACTACTATGAAAAGCCCTGGATTTGGATCCAATCTTGGCTTTCTGATTGGTCTTGTTTAAACTTGAGCAATCTGGCAGTAGCCAAGCCTTATGGGCGGCAGCTATTGCCCCAAAAAGAGCGTCACAGCAGAGTAATTTACGTGTCTAAGGCTTTCGACCGAGCAGGACACGATGAACTGATTGAAAAACTCTTAATGAATGAACTATACCTGAACTTTGCAAACCGCATTTGAAAGTTCCTGACAAGCCACTCGCTTCAGGTATGTCTAGACCGAGTTCAGCAAGGTTTTTATCCTCTTATCCATATACCAGCGATATTCTTTTACACTTTTGCAAACGATACAACCCCATATTTCTTTCACTTACTACTCAAGAACACCCAACTTATCTCAGATTACACGTGGGCACATACGTGCCATCAGTACGCTGAACACATTAACAAAAAATCAACGATTATGGCCCTTAGAGTTGAGCTATATACAGTCCTAAAAATTCGCCCACGGCTGTCGCTCCCTACATCGCTCTATCGTCAGCCTCTCGCTCATTGAAGTGCCTGCTTCTTCGCCTATCACTTTCGAGAAACTCTAACTCGTCCCCTCCTGTGAAATTAAGTGCATTCCGACCTCCGAGAAACTTCAGTTTTCCCGTTATCGCAAATACACCCCTCCGATTGAATTGTCTCCCGTACAGGTTCCAGATCCGTCCTGCTACATTGTGCTGACATACTTGGGGTGTTGTTCCTCCTGCATATCAATCACTCCTAAACAGTACTGGAAGAACAGCTGCGCACCTCATTGGCTCCCTTCTTTGATCTACCAGATGCCGCCTCTCTCCCGCCACTGTGTTTCCAATACCACGGTAAGCGTCCTACTGATATCGTTTCTCCCATTCCACTCCCGCAATCGGCCGACTCGTATGTGATGCTCTGGTCATTCGCATCACCAGACCGCAATACCCCAGCCCGCAATTCCATTAAGACTACCCACTATTAAGCCCACATTTTTACGCAGTATTAATCGTTCGTTTTCCCTGTACAAATGTAGTTTATTTACGTCTCAATGTTCATTTCCTGTTTCTGATATCTAGCATCTTAGGAGGCATTTGACTATGGATCCTCCGTACCTCTGGCAATCACCATTAAGACCAATAAAAACCCATGAAGTGTCTTTCTTGGAAGGGCTAATTGCAAAGTATATGGAGTCTAAAGGACAGCGGAAATCCCGAAGCCCACCAATTCTGACCCCGACCGAAACAAATCATGCAAACGAAACCGAAGTGTGTAAGGACATGTATGCATCTCGTCCCAAACAAACAAAAACTTACCAAAGCAAGGTCATCTCGGTAAAGTCCTGATTTGACACGAACCCATTGATCGGCTTTAAGCTGGCCAGATTCCTTTACCACTCGCATAACTTCTGTCATTTCGCTTATTGGGACTAGTTGCTGCTTGTATTGCGATAGCCGCAGTGCGGTTATGCCCTCTATTGCTTGTTTCACATGTGTCTGCTTGAAAGCCTCGACGTAAATGTAACCCTTTAAGCCTTCTTTTGCAAACGCTGATTTAATTTGTAAAGGTGTGTCTGAGTATTGGTACGCGATGAACTTTCTCATCAATGCCAACACTGTTGCCTTCTCTTCGCCCATTTTACACCGCAACGCCCACAAATTTGGGTCTTTTATGCCAGGAAGACGTTCCTTCTGGATAATGCTGTCGGCCATCGCCTCACCGTCCCCAAATCGATCGACATAGTTCTGCGACTCATAACGCTCTTGATAATACCGCTCAATCTCCTCTTCATCTTGGTCCATTATTTCCCGAATTCGACGGCGTGAGTCCAGTTCACGAGCCGCTGGAACAGCATCAAGCGCTTCTTCATCTTCTGGGCCGATTAATTCGTCTTCGTCTTGGTACTCATCATCTTCTTCCTCTTCCTCTTCATCCACTTCCGCTTCAATACCCCAGCCCGCAATTCCATTAAGACTACCCACTATTAAGCCCACATTTTTACGCAGTATTAATCGTTCGTTTTCCCTGTACAAATGTAGTTTATTTACGTCTCAATGTTCATTTCCTGTTTCTGATATCTAGCATCTTAGGAGGCATTTGACTATGGATCCTCCGTACCTCTGGCAATCACCATTAAGACCAATAAAAACCCATGAAGTGTCTTTCTTGGAAGGGCTAATTGCAAAGTATATGGAGTCTAAAGGACAGCGGAAATCCCGAAGCCCACCAATTCTGACCCCGACCGAAACAAATCATGCAAACGAAACCGAAGTGTGTAAGGACATGTATGCATCTCGTCCCAAACAAACAAAAACTTACCAAAGCAAGGTCATCTCGGTAAAGTCCTGATTTGACACGAACCCATTGATCGGCTTTAAGCTGGCCAGATTCCTTTACCACTCGCATAACTTCTGTCATTTCGCTTATTGGGACTAGTTGCTGCTTGTATTGCGATAGCCGCAGTGCGGTTATGCCCTCTATTGCTTGTTTCACATGTGTCTGCTTGAAAGCCTCGACGTAAATGTAACCCTTTAAGCCTTCTTTTGCAAACGCTGATTTAATTTGTAAAGGTGTGTCTGAGTATTGGTACGCGATGAACTTTCTCATCAATGCCAACACTGTTGCCTTCTCTTCGCCCATTTTACACCGCAACGCCCACAAATTTGGGTCTTTTATGCCAGGAAGACGTTCCTTCTGGATAATGCTGTCGGCCATCGCTTCACCGTCCCCAAATCGATCGACATAGTTCTGCGACTCATAACGCTCTTGATAATACCGCTCAATCTCCTCTTCATCTTGGTCCATTATTTCCCGAATTCGACGGCGTGAGTCCAGTTCACGAGCCGCTGGAACAGCATCAAGCGCTTCTTCATCTTCTGGGCCGATTAATTCGTCTTCGTCTTGGTACTCATCATCTTCTTCCTCTTCCTCTTCATCCACTTCCGCTTCGTCGTGGAACATGTCCTGAGAAAAAAAACATTTATTCACATAAATCAGTTGGGGAAGATAACATTTTTAAGATTTACAAAACTGGAGATTTAGTGAGATATAATACTACCACGAAGTGAGAAATTTGAGTATTGATCACATATTGGGTATTGACAGGATCAAGCAATCGGCGAAGCCCGATGTGCAGATGCACCATGAAATCGTTCGAGTCTAACCAGCGAGTTGAGTCTGCAGAAGGCGTAAAACATCTTAGAACTGCAATGAGCCGTAGAGACTAGCCGTTGTCCCAGGCCGGGTCTATGGAATTCGGATAGCAGCCTGAAACACAGAACTACCAACCCCCCCCCCCCCTTACAAGTTGAGGAAACTTTCAACTCCACCAAATTTTTTTTCTCCTTTACGAGCCTCATGCTTGAGTACTGTTCACTTCCGAGTTCACCCTGACTTATTGGATCAAACACATAATGCTATGTCTTGTCGACGACCCCATCGTTGACTGAAAATACTCGGTCTCTTGTACGTCGACGAAGAGTTCAGTTGTTCAGCTCTTATTCGCGTACCAAAGGTTTATCGGTTACGGCTATTACAGTCCATTTACCGACCGCTGGGGAATAAAAACGAGACTACCACGTTTTGGAGATGGTGACTTAACCAATTCATTATCGTTCCGCTGCCGTGTGAAATGAAACGGCTACACATTGAGGATGATAGCCTTGATACGCGAAAGTGATCTGGATATGGAGCTGGATCAGTGTACTTAGCTATTGGTACTTCGCGTCCTAGTGCTCCGAAGAAGCGGGCAACCCGAGGTTAAGGTTTTCTTACCATGTTCCCAGGTCGGTTTCAGTCAGCACAGGGATGGGTGAAAATAGCTCTGCCAGGTAGATTTTGATATGTGAAGTACATGGACTGATCGACAAGTTCTACGTAGAGTGAGGATAGACTGGAGCTGTGTTGAACAGTAACACGGGGATGGTTCTACGCGTATCACTTACAAAGGGGCCGTTCAATGGGTAGACTTCAGACCAACAAGACCTCCTGGTCCTCCGAGCTGCGGGTCGAAAGACATGCGACGATAACCACTTCTTCATCACGAGTTTTGTTTTCCAGCCGGATTTCGGACAACGATGGTGACATCGCATACAGTAAATTTCATCTGAGCCAGCCATTCCACATCAGGTTTAGTAGAATTCTCTGCTCACATCGACTCGGTTGATCGTTGCGCTGCTAGTTGTCCCCCTTTGACTTTTCCACATGCCGTCTCTTAGCACTATTAAGCTGTTAACTATGACGGTACATGTTAATTCCTCGGCTACTAGTTCCGGGACTACTGCACCTCCAATAGCCTTACCATTTTCGTTGAGATGGAATGGTCTTACTCATACCCAATTTGGAAGAACCCACAGGCCCTCACCCTCAAGCACATGTCTGTGCAGTTGAAAAAAGAACCGAATGTCCCGGCACTGAGGTTTCTAGCCACTGCCTTAATCGCGTTCAGAATGTTATCACTCGCAATTACTGAACCTTTCTATAGAGGAAAATGTAGGTAGCTCGAGATAGCTCAATCGCTAAGGCGCGGAATTACTGACCGACAGATCCGTAGTACGAATCCAACATCCACATCTCGGCTGCTTCTATTTAGGCCTCGGCATCCAAACAGTGGCTCAGTCCCAGCGTATCCTTCGGGTGGCATGGCAGACGAACGATTATTTATCATTTAGCAGTAAAAAAGGGCTGGGTGCTGCCCTGGAACCCCAATACTCCTGCAAGTTGATCGGGTGCAACAGAATGCCACCTAACAGTGTGATTTTGGTCACCGATTCCTTGATAAATTGAACCCTCGGGGCAAGAGTTTGCCCAGCAATCCAACAGATATAAGTAAGGTCATGAACTTCCTGTCTTGGATTCAATACATAACTAGTACGACTTTCACGGTGTGATTATCAAAATCAACCACCCAGGTAGGAAAATTATTTTAACACCATCGCGGACTATGCGTCCTACTGAAAGTGTGGTGAACAGGAAGTGCGATAGCTGTAAAGGACGAAGGAAAGCTCCGATGGGCAAGATACGTCGCGCAGAAAAAGGGAACACAAGAGGCCGCATAAAGAACTAAGCTCCTCAGACGGCGAGATCGAACAAAACACATCGACCGTATCCCGAAGGGAAAGTTACGGAGCTCGCCGGAGGTAAACGAAAGACCTGAACTATCTTTCTTAGAAACCCCGCGCACTATTAGTAAAAAGGTGCAGGAAAATCCGCAATCCAGCGGTATTCCCCAATCAGAAGGCGAAAACCTCTTATGATGGTCGTCAGGCTACAGAGGCCACACTAAATTCCAAATGACTATGGATTTGCTCAATTTCCAACGAGACGAGAAAAAGGAGTGATCAGATAACTGAACGTGAATGATGAAACTGGCACCGAAGACAGCGGTATGGTTGAAGAAGTGTTCATATTTCCGCTCCATCTCCCGGAATGACCACAATTTGCCAAAGCTCCTGAGAATCCGAGATATGTATCAGTTAGGTGATCAGCTGAAAACTCTGTAGTACCAATCGGTTGGTTCTGGTAGAGCTCATACGAATATATTGCTGAACTTACGACTGGAGAGTTCAAGTGCTCCCTGAATGAAGGAAGGTTGCAAATAGATTGTCACTCCTGTCCTTGAGGGTACAGAACCTAACTAGGTATTAAATGTCGACTAACTAGAATCATCAGAAACCCGTCCAAATCCACGGGACGAATAAACCACAGACAGCCGAATACATGGCGGACAGCAAGTTTCCCAGCCTTGCTCTTCGGTAACGGGTCCCAGATCGGATAACGAAATATTAGCTAGATTGACTTCCAAAAAGTTTCTGACTAGGTCAACTATGGATTTCGCCAAAAGCTTGTGGCACTTCGGGCAAATCCTACACACGAACGGGGAAATTTTGAAATCAACGTGGTTGTTTAAGATAATAAAGGAGTCACCTATGTAAAAAGACTCGAAGTTCGAGTTAATCCACCGTTTTCAGATGTACGACCCACGGATATTTACACGAAATGTACCGAAAGACTAATGGTTAGGGAGTTCAAACAAGCATGCTGTCGTAGTTGGAGGATGGTACTCACAAAACTCCGAACTAGTTCACGAAAGCGCATGCATTTACAGTTCTTGACAAACTGAAGTTTTCTTATATTCGATTCACACTGAGAAATGTTTGTGCTGCAGAAGAAAAGTTTTGTTGAATCACGAGCCGATGCCTACTCTAAGTGCTCGCCCGAATCCCAAGCGACGGAATGTGCTCCATTCACCAATCTCCACTAGCAACTACAAAACCAAGCAATATGTGCCAAAATTAACGAAAAAGTCCTAAACGCCAATGTGAGACTTCAGAACGAGTGCTACTAGTGTACACATCCTTGTAACTAAAACATAGTAAGAAATAGTAAGAAAAAGAGTAGGTCTCTCACCCTTCACCTGCTACAGGCAGTACCAGGCAATGCTTTCCTAAACATATCTGTCCAATACGGAGGACTGATGGAAAAATAAAAGTTCTTCGACTGCAAACAATGACAGAATTTAATGCGTTCTTACAGAGCTCGCAAGTCCTCAACATCTGTGACTTGTAAGCCATCAGTGCAAACTGTCAAGAGGGGATTTCCAAAACGTTCTAGGCTTGATCGTTCAGCTGCAACACCCTTCAGGTGCCTAGTGCCATGCAACCAGAAGGAAGCACGAGGGCTGGGATACTGCCAGGTTGCCCAAGTCGGGTTGGAACCAGCACGTACCCATGGGAGCACAGTGGTATTTAAATCAACCGAAAGGTCTCGCCGCTGATCGTTACAGAGATGACCTAGTTTATCGACACCATCGAAGAAGGCACCGTACTCAGAAGTCCCATTCGGATGCGAACGTTTGTGTCCGCTGAAAGCTACCTTCGCTATCAAGAGAACCAAAGTCCGTTACTAGGATGTGACCGACATACGAGGAACCATCCAATTCAATTTGGTTCCAGTGTGTCTCCGGAAGATCGCGAAAAGATGTGGGTCGCTGTTACACTATAAACATAGATCTAGCCTAAAACCCAAAAATCTTGAAGTAGTTAACCTATTCCAGATCCTTAGCAATCACCTTTAATAGAGGCACGAGTATCTACGTCACAGCAGTGAATTTGAGTGGCCTTCTGAGCAAGGTGGATAATGTCAAATTTGCAATGAACTGACAGTCCTGATATTCTTTTCACAGACACGAGATTGCAGCCAGAGGTCAACGGACCTACCTAGGTACCGGATTCCCAAGGTAATCGCAACACCAACATTGGTTGGTTGTGTCTGAGGAGTCACAGCAGCCGAGAGGCCCATTATCGACTTAACCGTTGGTCAGAAGCGCACGCGGTCGGTACAGGAATGCATTCGCTTTGGTATCATTGCAGCTCCAATTGTACGCTGATCATCTGAAGGCGTTCTCCCGAATCCGTAACAGCGAACACATCCTTGAAGTAGGATTTATCTCTACATGTGATACAACGTTTACTAACTAATACAACGGGCCGAATGTGGCACCCTTTCGATGCACAGCCATCATGCAGCTAGGAGAGACGAGACTGAAGAAGACCTCCGTGAAGTTGAGACTGAATCCTAGCCTGAACTTTGACGAAGCATCGAGTGAAAAACAGTAGAATCGAAAAATCTACACCATTCGTGCACATTTAGACAGAGCAGCCTATTAAACCTGAAGTGTCCCATAGGTAGGTTCAAGTTAAAGGAGCACGAGGAACGTAACAGAATTCATGAAAATTCATGAATTCATGAAATTTACGAAAACAAGTAGCGATACGACATACAGCACAAACTTACCCGGAATGTATCGACGACCGCCTACAAACGAAGCTTGACAGTCTCGCTCTCATGCCAACAAGAATGCGCTCGTACGAAGCGATGAAGCGATCTTCCGGGAGAAACTTTCGATCATCGTAATCATGAAGAACTTCTGGTTGACTTCCCCAAATCGTCTTTTTCCGGACGACCCCTAATGGAGGCTAGTTCCAAACCTAGCCCTGCTTGGATACGCCTGTACGGCCCTCCTTCCACTCTCGGTTCACACAATGCACCCGACTGGAACCGTTCCCCCCAAGCCGCAACCCTTCCACTTCCCCAAGAAAACCTGTCCGGTGAGTAGAACGGCATAGATGGCTCAGTGACTAGAGCGCGAATTTACTTACCGGAAGGTCTGTGGTTCGGGTCAGACCCCTGTCTCTCGACTTTTCCTGTCTAGGCTTGGGCGACCTGGCAGTATCCCATCCCTCGTGCTTCCTTCGGATAGGATGCCAGCTGAACTCCGAAAAGGCGTTACAGCTGAACGATTTATTTTATTTTCTACTAGTGACGCCGGTGCCCTACGCGATAGTAACACAATTGGCGTCACGTAGAATACCAGTCAACATGGAGAAGACCTAATATTTTGACATAAGAAAAGCAATTCGAGCTACACAGTACCACGATGAGGTACGTGCCTCATAAGCAGACGTACCTGAGACTTGCTATTACACAGACAGAACCAGGCGTCCGAATTTAGTGGCCCGACTCAAAGCTGTCATTTTGTCGTAGTGGTCGAGCTCCTGTGCTTCAATGATCCTGTGGGCTTTACTGGCTGAAACTCAGTTCCTTTCAACCATGCCAGAAAGGTCAAAGGGGAGCAGCCCGACGAAGAACGGCTGCTACCCGTACTGCGAGCAATCGCATTACGGTGTGGAGGTAAAGTCATACTGTCCTCTGCGATAGGAGTGTGAAGGCAATAAGGTGTTTCCCGCAGGCGATCAGCATGTCTATATTTATTGAAGTGGCGATGCTGCCTTCCCCCCAGGACGGACGGGATAGAAAAGGTCGGCGTCGAAAACCGCACACTCCGATCGCCCAACGGTTGACCGTGACCGACTTTTGGATCAGAGGCTAGGGTCACGGTTCCTAAACAAAGTCTACATCCTCTCACTGCCCTGTGGATCAGACTTTTGAACCAAAGGCTCAATGTGGGGTACCTCAACTAAGCCCTCTTCTTCGGCCTGGGCAACCGGAAAGTGTCATCCGCCTTTGCAGCTTTTCACTCACCGGCCTGCTGCCAACCCCCTAGCCACTGTTCCGTGTCTAAACCCTCGCCCAGAAAAATAAACCGAAATAATCACCTACTAACCTCAAAAGATCTGATCCATGTTGCAGCCTTTAATGTCCTACTCCATGTCAAACTGGGCAACAGGCATCCCTTGCTGAAACCTTGCATTACCTCTCTATCGACGTGTTGTGTCTCCGAAACACGCATACAAGACCCTACATCAGTCGCGCTCCTCAAACCACTTAGGATGAGACCAGATGTTCCACATTTCACTCTTTAAGCATTCGGTGATCCTTACGCGACGGCTCGTGGTATCTACGATGTGGGAATGGCACTCAGTCTCAAGGATGAAAGCGCCTTACTGGACTGGCCCCAGTAAACAGCCGTCTTTGCACTGTGCGGTTGTCTGGCTCAAGTAAAATTAACGCAAGTCGATGCAGCAAACGATGTGTTTGTCGTATAAGCATACGCCCCAACAGATGGTAGTTGAGACTGAGGACGAGTTTTATCAAGCTCTGTAACGACTGCTTCGACCGGCAAGAAGGACGGATATAATAATCCTTGCAGGTGATGTGAATGCCCAATTTGGAAGAATCACAGCTGGGTGGTAAATTTGGAGTCGACGTTGAGCGTACGGATGATGGGGAGTAACTTCTTTAGATGTGTACAAATTGTCGACTGTTCCTAGCCAGTACGAACTTCCAACACAAACGCACACATCGAGTTACTTGGAGGACATCTACCACAAGGCAGTCTTGGACTCATTTGGATCATGTGGCTATCCGTTACCGATAGAGAACCTCAGTTGAGGATTGTCGTTCCTTCTGGGGTACGCAACTTGGCTCTGATCACGCCATCGTGCGGGTTGATTTGGCTAGAAAGCTACATAAAACGCAAAGTCATGAGGATGGCGAAGACTGCTTGGAGGTTGAATGGAAGCGAGTTACTGAAGCTAGACCTTCAGTTTTCAGAACTGTCTGTCCAAAACATCTACCGCAACTCAGTGAACACTGGATATCGTCGAGATAAGAGAAATTTTATTGAAAATAATCGTTCAGCTGTAGCACCCTTTCGGTGCCCAGCTGCCATGCCACCAGAACGAAGCATGAGTGTTGGAATACAGCCAGGTTGCCCAAGACTAGACGGGAGAAATCGAGAGGCAGTGGTCGGACTCGAACCACGGATCTTCCGGTCAGTAAATTCGAGCTCTAACCACTGAGCCATCTCGATCCAATTTTCTGCTACCCCAATCTATTGTTATTATTATTTATTACCCCAATTTTACTACTGCCAGAAAGGCCATGAAAGCAACAGACGACTAGGATGACGCAGCCAGATCCCCCAAACACTGGATAATAAGGGTGAAGGATGACAGAGAACGCTGGTGGATTTCCAAGGTCCAGAAGATGGAGAAGGCTTTCGCAACAGCCGCTCCCTGTTTCGACTGGTTCTATCAACAGGTCATCATCATCAACATGTATCCGTGAGACAATATGCGAAAAAGACGGAACAGCAATTCACTCTCTCAATCGTCGTCTTGAGCGGTAGGCTGAGCACTTCCAAAAACAGTTCACCTGCTCTCCTCTAACACAACCGCAGGAAAAACTAAGCGGCTCGAATGGAACCTTGACACGAACCCACCATCGGCAACCGAAATCCAGCGTGAGATTTTTATTCTGAAGCGCGACAAGTCACCTAACCCGGATGATCTACACCCCGCGTTTTTCAAAGGTGATGAGATCCTGGCGAACGGCCTGACAACCATACTGCAAATTTGTAGCGAAAACAAAGTACCAGCCGAATGCGGTTTTCAGAAAGAGCGCAAGAACTTCATGCGGAAACTATCGTGGTATCAGCATCTGCCTTCAGGCATTATTTCAAGCAGGTTGATCGATTACCGAGAGAGCGAAATCCGTGAGAATCGAGCAGGGTTTCGCCCTGGTTGAGGATGCATCAACCATATATTTACCTTGAGACAAATTTTTGAACAGCGCCACTCCTTCAGACGTCCTACGCTGGTCGTTTTTCTGGATTTGAAGGCTGCTTTTGATTCAGTCGATCTTCAGAAACTTTGTAAGTGTCCGGTGATCAAGGGTGGCCTCTCCAAATTTCTATCCCTTGTGAGGGCACTGTATGTGAACTCCTGTAGGAGCGTACGAGCACACGGGAAGCTCTGGCCTGAGTTTACCACGTACAATGATGTCCTGTTTCCGCTTTTCTCTTCAACTTTGTCAATGATGTGCTGCTCTAAATTTCTCTACCTGCCTCTGAAACCTAGGGAGTCGAAATGTTCCTGGGACGTTCGTTCACGTATGCGGACGACATCGCCCACCTTGGTTCAGATCCTTCCCAAATGCAGACGAGTTGAAATAACCTAAGTAATTCTGCCGCAAAGTTTGGCATGCACTTCACACATGCAGTGTAAAGTGCTGCTACAATACTGGGTTGGACCAAACCCAAACATCATGCTTCCAGGTGAGTCAAGAGAAGAGTTTACACTGCGCTGGTGCGATTCATACTACTTTATGGATCAGAGACTTGACCACTACGCGCAGAGGACATACGGAAGATGTCAATGCTTAATCATCAGTGTCTCCGAAGCATTTGTCAGGTCTGGTGCGAACATCAGATTAGTGAAGCTGAGGTACGCCAGATGGTCTTAGGAAGAAGGAACTCTCCTGCGATGGATGAATTACTCACGCTTCACAGGTTGCGCTGGTTGGGTCATGTACTCCGCATGCCAGAAAACCATTCGCCTCACAGAGTTATTTTTCCAAGCCATGTGCTGAGTAGAAGCAACCGAAAGGTGGACAGTATGACCTGGTAACGAACTACTAAAACACTAACCAGTAAGCTTAGTCGGGTCGGCAACTACCGCTTCCGTGGATTGGGACCCTGGGACTCAACTCACCAATGGCTAATGACACCGGCAGAAACGGCCTAATCGTGCCCAATAGTGCATCAAAGCTATCGCCTTCAATGCGTAGCTTCCCGATTTCCGAACAGATTGAACATACCATCGCCTCCAAGGCCTGGTAGTATGGCCCACACTCTCGTTTTCCGGTAGCAGCTAGAACCAACGTGCCATGGTACACGGTTCATAGCCGATAAATTGATTGATTGATTGACTTCAGAGGAAAATTAAAGCTCACACTGTCCTGATATTCTTTACCGTCCTCCACTCATTCCCCTATGTGCAGACTCGACCGTAGTTCCCTGCACCGCGATTGAAGACCGTGAATTAGAAAGCGTCTAGCGGCCAAGAACTCATGCGACATGCTGTCTGAGACAGGCAAACCCCACATCAGTCCCTGAGCACTGACATAAGGCTACGTATGCAGTGACCTGATGGTGGCGTTCGGGCTGAGAAATCTCACAACCAACCCCATCATTCACCCTACAGTAGCATAGTTACAAACTAATGTTTTCCTGTTCCGACGGATTTTCTGATAGGCTTCCTCTATTTTGGGGTGATCCGGATAGATATAATACATTGGAGACCAAGACAACTTCGGACTTCAAATTACAGTGGACAGCGATGCCTCCATTTGTCTGCAAAACCTCGTGGATGATAACGTGTCCAAAATTTCCGAGGATACTTCGAGGGGCAGCAGTTCTGTCCAGCCGCTTCAACACACATTGCAACGAAAATTAAGGAAAAATTGGAAGATGGACTTCCAATAAAGATTGGCGTCGATTCCCGCCTCCAGGCTGAATTCTGATGCACGTTGGTAAACATGTATCCACAAAGGCATGCAGGACGTAGAAATTACCGTTCCGTCTACAAAGCTCGGCAGAAGAAATGCTGTCCCATTGACCTGAACGACCGATGAACCAGGAGCCCCGGGCCGCGGAACCGGACCGGCTTCACCTTCCGCAATTCCTCAAAGGTCTTTGACCGGGCGCAGCCGGAAAAATCGATATGATACTGGACACTTTTCACTGCAACGGACCCATAGTTACCCGGGTAGAATGACTGATATCATGGTGAGTAGAACCTTTTTGGAGCACTGACCAATCTCCTGCGAAGTTCCGAAGGCTGGGTAACGGGGCTCTTACTGGCTCTTGCCTTACCTAACCTACCGGTAACCCTGAATCCTCAAGCCAACTCTCTACTGACAAGAATCCAAAGGAAATGCCTCCTATACTGCTCTGAAATCGATGCGCTTTAGGTAGCCTGTGGACCGTCTTCCTCCAATCCATGGGAGTGTCATATACTTCTGTTGTTCCCGCGCCCAAACCTATACTCTAGAACCACTGGTGTAACACACTTCTAATCGTGATAGACTTTGGGATCCCCATACAACAAAACATCAGAAACAATCCAGCGCCAAAACCAAATCCAAAACTACTGATAAACATTGTACCATTGGGGTTGACGGGAGGAACGGTGCTCAAATTGCTTGCGGGAGTCCACTTGAAACAAGAGAATCCGCACTAAAATCTCTTGCCTTGAGGGAGATTTCGGACTGCTGGGGCAGCCTCAAAGACAAACTGACAAGCCTGTCAATGGCTTCTGCAGCCCGTGTTGCATCAGACGCTTGATGAAAATTAATCTTTACTCAACTACAAGCGAAAGGCTGTGTGGTGACACCATCCTCACATCTCAGATAACAAAGAACCTCAACTACACATGCATGATTCTTTAACGTTTACAAACACTAGCAAACTACGAGGTCACATCACGAATAATAGAAAACCGCAGTCACCTGGATTGCACATGGCACTAGTGATCGCCGGTAACTGCCCTTCACGGAAAGCCCATTTCTGAAATGGTTCCAAAACTGGACACTCAGAATGTCTACGCCGAAACCCAAAGTACTACTACTACCAGATAGTTCAAGCCTCAAATATCATCAGACCATAAATCTAATGCCACATGCAGTGCGCCATGCGACGCTTCGAGTGCCCTGCCTAACTCCAAACGGAACTACGATAAGATGGTTCGTTGGTGAGTCAAACCATTATAAAATGTGAAGTGAATATACTAAGCTGAATAGAATATTTCATGATAGAGAGAGAGGTTCGTACATACCTTCACAGCAAAATGCATCTTGCGTTTTCGCCTTGATGAACGCTTCTCTGGCTCCTCCATCTCTTCCTCCTCCTCTTCATCCAGACTGTCGCTTCTGTCTGATAAATCATTCTGCTGGCGCTTCCTCTTAGACGGAGGAGAGGCCTCTTCTGACTCGTCGGAATCTGAATAATCACTCATCTCCGAAAGAGAACACTGTCAACCGACAACGCAAACGAGCAGGTAAGTAGGCTGACGGTAAACCAGCGTTCTGATTGGCTTGTACCTCTCGCACTGGAAATTGTGACCTACAAGCAGACACTCGATGATTCACTGATCAACACACAGGATCAAGGCATTCGCCCAGGTTTCATGGGTCGATTCCGTTCTTGTCGTTCAGAGGCTGCCGTTCATTGGAAAGGCACGAGCATAAAAAGGTGTTGCACTTTTTAAGTTCTCAGCGCGAGGATTCGCATAAAAAGCGTCTACTAATGCTTCGAACTGGGTACTACATGGAGCTTGGACAACCGTCAAAGAAAGGTTATTCCGCGCATCAGCTACCCGAAATGAGGAGGGAAATTTGTCCAATAAAATTGTGTGATCTGAGATTGAAGAATCCCTATCATATCCCCGCCGTGTGTTGGTTGGATCAACGGTGGAAAAACCTGTTGGTCGAACCTTGTTCAAAAAAACATTAACAAGTGTTACGACTCCTCGAAGGCGAAGAGTCCTCCTCCAGAGAAGAGAGGTCAAGCACCGCAACACGCGCTCTGTAGTCCATGGAGTTGAGGCCGGTAAGTATTTTCCTAACACCTCGTTGGACCCGCTCAATGAGGGCTGTGTGCTTCTTGGCTGGTCTGGCGTAGGTCCCATAGAGTATTTGAAAGTCCATGCAAGCATTATGGTAAAGGGTCCGACGAACCATTATTAGGACGATGAACGACCTTTGATTCGATTTGCATGACACAGTGAGGTCATGGTTGAAGAGAGCCAGACACGCATATATTTTTCGGCATCGATCCGCCTGATGCCTTCCAGTCGTTGCCAAAATGCACGACAAACGCTTTCACTGAGTCACCTCCGAATGACATATGGACGCACTTTCCTTCATTCAGAGGAAGATGCTAGTCCCACGAGTAATGCTTTGCAGCAGTTTGGAGGGCGCTGGCATTTGAAATCCAGGATTTCAAGTCGTCTGCAAAAAGCGGAC